TGCCAACTTTCGTGAAGATATCGTGTTAATTTAAAATGTTTTCCATACAAGAACTAGATTTTGAACGTTCAGTTTGTATGACAGCTATAAGCTATAGTCGTGCGACATCAACAGTTTTGATGAATGAGCGGCTTTTTGGGGAGAAATGGATGTGTGCTAAATTACAGATTGATATCTCACAAACTGAGAGGCTAGTTCGCATATATACAGACAGACAGACGTCACACTGTAGTAATATATTTTATATAGGGTCTTCAACGTTTCCTTCTGGGTTTTACAAACTTCGTGGCAAACTTAATACACACTGTTTAGGGTATAAAAATGATTGAAATACGTTTTGTCATGAGAAGGCATAAAAGTGGAATTGAATATCACGAAAATTACATAATGCGGGCGGAAACCTTATTCTTAGTTGCTTTTCACGCTTTACGTTCAACCCAACAGCGGTTTAACTTATTTAAACACCGTAGTACATACATACATACAAATACGTATACATACATATGGTATGTATGTATATACATGGGCAGTATAAACTCCCTGGTTTGGGCGAAAACTTCATTTAAATTCAAATTCCCATACAAAGTGAAGTCAACGAAGCGGAAGTTCACAACAAAACATAAGGCAATCCACCTAACTACCTAACCAAGCAAACGAGCAACCAGCCAACCAAGCAGTCATCCAACTAGTCAGCGAGTTACTCAAAGCCAACAACAAAGCTGTGTTTTGAAAGCTAGCAAAGCTTTGTAGCACCAAGCAAGCTGAATGTAAACGACAGGCGAATGACACTGTAGAGGAATCAACGCTGGCGCTTCGTAAGCTGAAGTGCCTCTTATTCTGAGAGTGCAGTTTAAAGAGTTTTACATCTTAGTTTCTTTACTATTTACTGTTATTATACTCTTGCAACATGTTGTTGCAGAGTATAATAGCTTTGTTCGCCTAACGGTTCTTTGTATCAATCGATCAAGATAGATATAGGGTTACATATATATGTACATAAATCATCAGGATGACGAATAAGCTTTTCCATTTGACGAGATATCTTCACGAAATTTTGTATGGGTTCTTGCTTAAGGCAATGATGCTCCGAAAAAACTATTTATATCGGATTGCTATAGCATATAAGCTAGTGTACAAACTGAACGATCGGAATCAAGTACTTGTATCGAAAACTTTTTCATTTGACTATATATCTTCATCATTTGGCACGGGTTATTGTCTAAGGCAACAGTGCAATCTCCATCTTCGGATTGAGTCATTATGTTGTTCAGATCGAGTCATTATAACATATATTTTGAAATTGTGGGAAACCGCTTGTTTTTTGAAGTTAATTTATTAATTAATTAATAAGCTTAAAATTAATGTAATACACAACAGTTAGTTTTACGATGAAACATTAATATTATATTTGTAGCCTGAACAAAATATAATATATAAAGTCTGCAACGAAATTTTGCACATGCCCTTTTCTCCCCAATAATCTGCTTATTTTTCGGACTATTATAGCAACTGCCGAGGGTGTTAGAGCTTCGAAGCAGCCAAAATTAAGGTTTTCTTTTTTTTCTCAATAGTGTTATACCTACAACTGCTCATCAATATTAACAAGTCTATTAAAAGAATACTATATTTTAATACAAATTTTTAATAAAATAAAATAGTATTTTGTTCATGTGTTAGTAATGGCTCACTCTTTGCGATAATTTTAGTTAAATTGCATGGTCATATTATTAATAATTCAATATCATTCATTATACGTCATTATATTCCAATATGTTTAATTAAATAAAAACAATAATATATCAGCAGTAAAAGAAAATGTCATTGACAGTCAAAATTTAAGTTTTTTTTTAATTTCCGATCGCCGCCAAACCTTACAGGATCACTCGCTGGCCAACCTGAAGCTCCTCCGAAAAATTTCATTGAAATCGGTCCAGCCGTTTCGGAGTTTATAAGAAACATACGTACAAACTTTCTCTTTTATACATATATAACAACAATCAACGTTGATAATTGGTTTATTATTAATTATTAATTACTAAGACCATTATTTTAAATAATAACTATCCTATCATTTAAGTTGGACCAAATTACATATATGTATATGCCAGAGGCTCAGTGACACCCAAATGCTAAGCTCCTTTGCATTTTATCTATATACATACATATTAATTTAATAAATCTGCTTCATCATTATATTCATGATCATTATCTGCTCTTAATTTACTTTTTGTTTTCAAGATAATAAAATGCTGACTTCGTAAAATAATATGTGCAATTTACTGGCTCTGCTTCTGCTCAGCTTTTCAAGCTGAGTCAACCTTCTCAAAACTACATATTTTTGCAGACAACAGCATAAGCATCTGCACTTGTTCACCCCAAAAATTTTGTTCATGCACTTAGTCTTATGAGTGTTCTTACAGTGCGATATTCCAAATATTTTTATTTTTCAAGCGACTATTATGGGTAAGTGTGTCCATAAATGTGACTTTGAACAATCAGAAAATTATGTAAAGATATTTCAATATTTAAATTTTTTAAGAATTACCACCAAGAGAAAATTTATCTAGAAAATTAAGTAATCGGTCTCTCTGATCTGTCCCATCCATTCTCATTTTGAGTTAGTCCTTTTAAATTGTCTGAACTGAACCCATATATATATAATTACACAAAGACTGCTTCTAGTAGAGACCTGCTACAATTACAAAAGTTCTGTGGTAAATTCTACAGTACGCTGTCGTACGCGCTAAATACATATGAAAAAAAATAGTATGGGCAAACATTGCCTGTTTCATTGGCTAGCACTTATTCACTTGGTTGTGCATTTAATGCAATTAATCACTCGAGAATTGTCAGCTTCTGACCTTGACTTCATACACTGGACGCATGCGCTCGCGTTAATTTAACAAGATAAACACGACAATGAACATGAATGTACGCGGCAACAACGAAATGGCTGAGTTGGATGCGTGTTTCATATGCGTTGATTATAGAATATGAATGACATAACTTTAGTATTATTACACTTTGAATGTACTATCTCTGTTTATGTGCCTGTAGTTTATAATAGTTACTTGAGTTAATATGAATCTTCTTACTGAAGAAGTTCTCTCATTATTTTTGTTTTTATACGTACATATACCATATGTATATGTTATCAGTGTCTGAAGGAAATATGAATCACATTTGCAGTAATTTAGTTGAAGAACTAAAAGACAATGACCTAAGCTTTACATTTCATTATTAAAACTCTCATTTACATTCCTTAAATTGGCACTCAAAAGATAATCATATTAGCGGATATGGTTCATATAGAGAACGCCATTCTTGACGGACTAACAAAAAACTTAAATCAATTTTCCATGCACTTTTTATAAGCCTCGATTTGGATGGCCTTCAATCACTTCAGCGAAGTTTGGATTTTTCGATTTTGATTAATTTTTGGTGCGCCATTCTCGCAAGATTGTTGGACAATTTCGACTAGTGGTCTAGTCACCAGTAATGCGTAATGCGTTTGATGAAAGATACGTTGTCAAGTATCTCTTTTGCGACCTCTACTCGACGTCATTTTTACAAAAGATTCAGGTCTTTTGGTACGAGCTTGATACCCAAAACATTAACCAAAATCTGTTAAGTCGATTTATAAAATATGCTCCCCTGCTATCTCTGTGCTGCTAAGACAACGATTTTCAAGCTCTGTTTCTTTAACTTTTCGATGTTATCGACATCAACAAAAGTTGATGGACCAGTCGCATGAGGCAAGTTCACAACCTTTACTGAATGCTTTGTGCCACTCAAATACTTGTTTTCGTGATAAAGTATACTCCTGCAGCATTTTCAACGATTAGGTAACCGTGATTATATTGGAAACACAAAATTTCAAGCAAACTCGTTATTCAAATTTTTTTTTTTCAGCTGGCGATCAAACTTCACACAAACATATAAATAGTTGCATGCGCAGTTTATATGGGTCAGTCCGAGACAAATTTGATCAGATCGTAGATAAATATATATTCTCATATTTGTGATTTATATATGTGGGAGTTTAAAACTACCTTTCTTAACCCAGAAGCATATGTGAATGTTAATCAATATTGCCTGTCCAGATCCGCCACAGTTCGAAAAACGCACTATTATATCTGGTGAGGACAGGATTCGATTAAAGCTTGAGTAAGGGATTAATAAACTTAATAAATATCAATTATACTTCAAATTATTAATTTTATGTGGTTGTTAGCTACCGTGAAAGCAGGATCATCTATGCTCCGCGAATATTAAAATCGATGTTTGCAAACAATGTTCTAAACTATCATTCATTTATCTTACATATTTACCACCTAGCTGCCCGTCGTACACAAATAACTACATACATAAACACAAGTTTGCTTCACATCATTACATTTCGTCTGGCTAACCGTGTGACAGACAGTCTATTCATTAAAAATGCTACGCTTTCAGCTAATAAGTAGAGTAAATAGAATTTCAACAAGCGTATTAATTTGAATTCATTTAAAATTGTAAATCAAATTGAAACTAAATTGCAAGTAAGAAAAAAATAATAATAATTGTACATGAGAATAACAGTAGCATAACAAAAGCGCAGAGAATTTGCATTTGAACTTGAATTTTTATTATCACATTGCTATTGCGCAGCTCCCATCTGTGGGGCTGTTTGTCATTGGCGCGGCTGTGAGACGGCAGTCGAATGACTGAGAAGCCACCAGTTGGTAGTGTGGCTTAATTTCAGTAATATTTGCTATCGTAAAACGTAAAATATTGTTGTTTTCGGTTTTAAAATGTTTGAGCATGTTGTGGTAAATTAATGAAATAGAATTATATTTCAACGAAAATGTAAAATAAACAAGCAATAAAGACAAGCTTTACCTTCGACTTATAAAGTCTTTAGAAAATATGTGATTTTATTTCAGCATTTCAAACCAATAAAAAACGAATGACTATTTGTACAGTCCTTGAAAACTTTATCTTTTATTTTATATTTACAGACGAGGACGCTTTAATTTTGAAAGAAAATCGTCACCCAAAAGGCTACAGTAAGAATCAGCACACGTTTAAGGAACTGCAGGCGCAGATAGAACAACAACAATCCACCGTAAGTGGTTTAAAGCACACAAGTAATACACCAGCAGCTACTGCAGCTTCGAATTCCCGCCGTAGCACTAACGAAATAACAGCAACTGCCGCAAATACCCCAATTCCAACAAACACTAGAACACCAACGACCAAAGTAACCTCAGCAACTCAGCAAAAGCCAAACACACCTCAAATCAAACAACAGACAGTGCAGCAGCTTAAACAGGGGCAGCAACTTAGTGGCCGCAATAGCAGTCACAATAATAATAAATATAATACTGCTGCGATAGAGTATCACAACAGTGTCGAAATTTGCGGTGAAGCACCAGCTTCAAAGAATTCCGCCACACTTGTTGGTAGTGCCACTGCGGCAACTGGATTAGCGTGTACACGTACAACAACTGGTGTAGTGCCAACGCCAGCGACGTCAACGGCTGTCACGCCGGCGTCGTCGTCTGCGTTCACACCCTCGCCAAAAGCGAGCAATATAAAAGTGATGCACAGTCACGCCACCGCGACCCAACATAGCGGACAAACAACAGTGGTTGGTCATCATCGCGGCTTCTCGCAACCATCTGTGACAGTGGCGGCCAATTCAGCAGGCGATCCATGGTTTTTACAATCCACCGGGCATCAAATGCCGCCCACAGCGCCTTTGCGACATAATAAACGGCCCGCGCCGCAACCCAATCACGCTAATAGCTTGGGAGGCGCTGGCCTAGGAACTAGCGTTGGCGTGAGTGCAGGCGGGGGTGGTGGCATTGCCGGTGCGGGGAGCGTCGGTTTGGCGAACTCTGGCGGCGTTGGTACCAGTTTGTTGCATCAGCAGCAGCTGAGTCAATCGCAGCCACACATTGTACCGCCGAATATTCCGCCGCATCATCACAACAATGTGGTAATTATTGCAGCAAATATTAGTGTGAATTATTCTAATTTTTTTGTTTATATTTTTCAGAGTCAACATCACAACGCAATCCATTTGTCCTCGCATGCACTCAGTAGTCATAATTTAATATCGACCGCGGTTGGTAGCAATCATTCACCAAAATCACCCAATCAACAACAACAACAGCAGCAGCATCATCATCAGCAGCAGCAGCAACAACAACAGCAGCAGGCGTCACAATTGACCGGCTCCATGCCACAGCCGCATGCACATGCACACGTTTTGTCCACCTTTGCACCAACTACCAGTAATTGTGCGTCCACGGGTGGTGTGACAGCCGCCGCGGTGGCCGCCGTCACACAACAACAGCAGCAGCAGCACTTGCAGTTGCTGGCGAATGCTTCCAGCAATAGTAACAATAATTTGATGTCGTCCTCATTGAATGCGGCGCAGCATAGTGCCGCATTATCGTTACATGAGCGCGGCTTACCACCAAAAAGTAGCGCCATTGTAGCCGGTTTAGGCGTCGGTTTGCACAGCAGCAATATGCTGTTGCATCAATCACAAGCACCCACATCGCTTACGAGCAGCCAACAGCAAACGCAATCGGCGATATCGCTGAACACTACTGGCGGCAGTAGTAGTGCTGGTGGCGGCGGTGGTGTGGCTGCTGGTTGCGGTAGCTTAACTGGCACAAGCATGTCAACATCCTTGCACAGTTTCGATAGTGGCAGTTCGACGGGCAATGCCTGGGCAAGTAATGCTAACGTAGCCGCGGCAGCTTTGCACTCACCCACTAACGCTTTAGGAGGCGGCAATCAACACCATTTACAACCTCAACGCAAATGTGAGGTTAAACTGAACGCAATGCCGTAAGTAATGCAATGCAAGCCAATCGACTTAGGCATATTATTATTGCTATTGAAATGACCGGTAGAGCCTCAATAAAATATAAGTTAATTATAATTTGATTATGGCGATAAGTACTATTATAAAACCAGGCTAAAACAAGCCTCGGAAACGACTCTACCCATAAATCTCTAATAAAGCTCTTTTATTAAATTGATATGAACTTGATTTGAATATCTACGAGTATAAAGTGGCCACACGTCAGCCGTTTATCTCTCCCCCTTTATCTGTATTATGTCATAAAAGGAAAAGTGTGTCTAAGCATTAAGCATATGTGTATTTTATTGGTTTTGTCCAATATATTGCCATGTAAGTATGTATTTATATATACATACATACATACATCAAAATTTATATATAAAACCTAGGATCTATCTAAATATCACATGGGCACTATAAAAAAAACACGAGTTATGTAGCTTGATTTTTATTCTCATTCCAGCACATTTGACTTATCTGATTCACTTTTCAAAATTAAAAATACTTTATTGTTTTCTCTTAATAAATGAAAATGTAACAATTTATTATATCGTAACTATAAATCTTAGCTGTTGAAAATTTTTGTTTCTGTAGCTGAGCAGTTTTAGATCTCAACACTTAAAAAACTCTTTACCTATCTTTTTGAAATCCGGCAGTAGGTAAGCATAACTTGCTACCGAGGGAGCAGCCATATGTCCGCTCCATATATTTGTGATGAGTTAAAAATATGAATTTTTCCACCAAATAGCCGAAACATTTAAACAACACATACAACTTTTATTTTAGAAACGAAAAATCACAATTATCTCTTCATTTATATATATTGTAGTTAACAGTTAGTCATTAATAATTCTTTCCTATCTCCTTATCTTATCAACAATAATAGTATACGCAAACGCAAAAACATGTATACCGCATAAAATCGTTTCTACTTCGCATTTAAGCATCAGCTTCCTCTTTGGTAGGGTAGAATACCAAAATGTCCAAGTCAAAAGTAAGGAAATACCTGAAACGCGATCAAAAGCAACAAGAATCGCTGTTAATTGTCTTCCCGTATGTAAGCCAAGTCTAATGTTGTCATTTTTGTAACAACATTTATTAACTACTGTTGCTACGAGTTTTATGCCTACCGCTTATTTAATTTATGTTTCCCAACACAAATATGTCCATAAAAAATATTGTTTTTTTTTCTCATTTTTAATTTAATGCTTCGATCAGTTGGTTCCATGGCAGCATAACACGCGACGAAGCCGAACATCTGTTGCAACCACGCGAAGACGGTCTCTTCTTGGTGCGTGAATCGACGAACTTCCCGGGCGACTATACGCTATGCGTCTGCTTTCAGGGCAAAGTGGAGCATTATCGTGTCAAATATTTGGGCAATAAACTAACCATTGACGATGAAGAGTATTTTGAGAATCTGGGGCAATTAGTTGCGGTAAGACTACGGGCTTAATTTTGAATTTACTCACTTCAATTTTATGCACTGACTATTGGTTCGAAATTGTAGCATTATGAAGCTGATGCCGACGGCCTTTGCACACAACTCATCAAATGTTTACCCAAGCAGGGGAGGCAGGAGTTCTGCATTAACTCAAAAGATTTCCTTGATAAGGGATGGGTCATACCGGAGGCTGATTTGCAGCTACGCGAAAGCATTGGCAAAGGCGAGTTCGGTGATGTGATGTTGGGTATACTGCGCAGTGAAAAAGTCGCCGTTAAGATGCTTAAAGATGAAGGCGCTGTGCAAAAGTTTTTAGCGGAAGCCTCCGTTATGACGTATGTCTATAAAAAAAAATTATGTGCAGGTGTGTGCATTTAACACAAAACTATTTTGTTTTTCTACTCAACAGTACATTAGAGCACGAAAACTTGGTAAAATTCATAGGATTGGTGTTCACCAGCAAACACATCTACTTGGTAACGGAGTATATGAGCAAAGGTTCGCTGGTCGATTATTTACGTTCGCGTGGACGGCAGCATATTACGAAAAAGGATCAAATCAATTTTGCCTAGTGAGTATGCAATGCAAACCATATATGTACATATATACATAATTATATAATATTAATGTTATATAATTTTTTTGTTCTGCGCAGCGATACCGCCTCCGGCATGGAGTACTTGGAAGCTAAAAAAGTCGTGCATCGCGATTTGGCTGCACGCAACGTACTAATCTCCGAAGAGTGTGTCGCCAAAGTGTCCGATTTCGGTTTGGCGCGTGAAGAATGCTATAATCTGGATGTTGGCAAATTGCCCATAAAATGGACGGCACCTGAAGCGCTCAAGAATGGTGTATGTAAAAATTATTATAGTTTTATTAAGTAGTATGTAAATAATATTTATCTAATTTAAATAACATTCAACATATACAAGCGTTTACACAATTTTCACATTTCTACTTTTAGCGTTTTTCCAACAAATCCGATATGTGGAGTTTTGGTATTTTGTTATGGGAAATCTACTCATTCGGTCGAGTTCCTTACCCCCGCATAGTAAGTATTCATGTTTTAACTTATTCAAGGTTTGTTCCAAAAAAAAAAGATTGAAAAGCCTAAAACAGTTGTTATTGCAAATCTTGAGAGTGGTTTAATGCTTCTTTTTATATATATTTTTTTTTCTATAAATTAGCCCCTCAACGACGTCGTCAAACACGTTGAAGTTGGCTATAAAATGGAGGCTCCTGAGGGTTGTCCCCCCGAAATCTACGAGATGATGCGTCAGGCGTGGGACTTAAATCCCTCGAAACGTCCAACATTTTCCGAACTGAAAGTTAAATTGTTGCACTTAAAGAACACTACACCAGCGTGAGAGCATAATTGCAATGTACTACGACAGTCAAACAAACTGCAAGCAGCAAACATTGAAAACAATCCAATCCAATCGAAGTGAGCAACTTAATTTACCAAGTAATAAACACATACATGCTATGATATATATATATATATATATATATTAATATATATATTTATGAATTATGATTAATATTATTTACGGTTAGAAACACTTAGGCAAGGGTAAAAATTAAAAGAAAAGGACATTTATTGGTAAGCATAAACTTGTAAAATGTTAGGTTTCAGCAATTTATTTAAAACTTAGTATTTGTTTTTATTTGTATTGTTTTAAGTAATGTTTTTGCAATTTAATTAAGTTGAAAATGTAGAAATAAGCTGGGTAGCGCACTTTTAAACGGTGTTATCGTAAATACCTATTGTGTAATAAAAGGAAAATGATTGCGCTCGATTCACCAATGCACGTGCGTACCCGGTGTAAATTGAACGATAGCAGCTAGTTGACAAATTAAATGCAAATTAAAAATTTAATTTAAAAAATATATCAAAAAGTAATAGTATAGAACATAAATATAAAATTTTGTCTAGTTTTCATGATTATTTATATGCGTATATTTGTTTTTAGTTTCTAATTACAATAACTATGTTGTACTACAACACTATTTACTACTACAATATCACTATTTAACACTGCTGCTACGACAATTGTATGTTAAGTTTACTTACGTTATTTATATGAAGACACATTAGCAAACACACACACACACACTATTTGTTTAATCTTTTTTTTTATAAATATATAATATTAATGTGAACCTGTGGACATGAATGTAATAAAATGTTAATTTGCGTAAAACCTTTTGTTTGTAGAGAATATGTGAGAATAATTGAAGTGGCGACAGGAAATGAGCTAGCTAGCAGTTCACGTAAAATTAAACAATAGCAGGGATATAATGACTCGCATATTCGCACATAATGGTCACACAAACGTATAAGTAAATAATACAGAATTTTTTTCGTAATTCAAAATAAAAACAAATAAATTAAGTAAAAATTAAAAAGGAGTGTAAATCACAGAAGTGGCGATTCAGCTGCATTCCAAAACTAAATTTTATTGTATATACAAATATAGTATTGCTTAACCATTATAATTATGCGTCAATTTGAATTTTATGCTACAACGATAAAAATATTTTCATATAAAATTATTGTACAATTTCTATGTATAGCTGAACAACGCAAAACCATTTCAAACTTCGAAACATTTTCCCAATGTTCTACATGTGAATAAGCACATATTGTTGCCTTAATTTCAATATACTTAAAAATTGATTTCGAACTGCTGCTGAACGCTACCTATTAATAAATTTATCTGCTTGGGGTTACCACTAATATCTTAAAAAAAAAAAGTATTTACCATCAATTGTCTTGTCTCTTCGCTCAATTTATACTCATATAACGCTACTTTTTTTGTGTATAAATGCGTTGAGTGAAAAACTATTTAAAACATAATTTTAACTAAGTTGATATGAATGCAGTTAAGTAAAATATATTTATATTATGTAAAGAGTTTCTAACAACAGCAAAAACCACACACATATACATATTTACACACAACTCATCCTCATATCATGATCATACAAAATCCCTATTTAACATTAATTAATTATAACATTTATGAAATTATATAGGTTAAGAGTATGAATGTATATGTACATAACACATTTCATTTATATGCGCGTATTTGTTGAATTGTTTTTACAAAAGTTTAAATTCGGCAATTTAATTAGTGTTCCAAGTCATGGTTTGGACAACAGAAGGAATTTCTGGCAGCGCAGATCTACATAATGAAAAAATTCTTATTACTGTTCTAACTATTTGAAAACCTGTTATAGCAAGCTATTTTATGCCACATGCAAACACAGATACACACTCAACATAGGATTAATTTCGCAGGCAACTTCTCTTATAATGCATTTCAAAATAATCAGATTGAATAATTACGGAAAAGATTTAAAAGTGAAAATTAAACTACTCGTATTTACGACTAAGCAATAGCGTTACATAAGATTTGCACTTGTCATGATTCCGTAACGTTCTACACAATTTCAAACTATAGTAAAAGTTGTATTCTTATTAATATTGAATATTTTGTTTAGAACAAATGCAATTGATTTATATAAAAATATAATTAATAATTACAACTAACTAATGTATTTCATATTGCTTTGCTTCTTTTGATCATTACATTATTACTTGATTTCATGCCCATTGTCTTACAATTTATTTCATAAATGTTCACTACACTATAGATTTGTTCCGTTGCTCCTTTAATACGAGTAAAATCTTTGAATTCAGCATTTAGCCTTTAAAATCGGTAATATAGACATTTTTAAATATACACATATGCATAAATATGTAAGTGATTTTATGAATAAGCAGCTGCAGTCATGTTAGGCGGAAAGTAAGTTCTGTATTGATAATATTTTATGCGAAGAATGTCTAATTTCCAATATCTGTTATATTTTAAAATAAAATTCTTCGATTTTTACCTTTCAGGTACTTTTTTTAAATTTGCATTTACAGTTAAAGTATTTGAAAAATTTAAGCACGCTTCTGGATCGCATTTCAAATAAAATAGAATATATTTTGCAAAGAACAAACCGTAAGCATACGAATAACCAATATTTCAAGCAGGGCCCAAAGAGGATTATCTAGAGAAAAAATTTATTTAATTTTACCATATGTATATTTTTTGTTGATGTTACATGTGCTCGAGTTCATATATGATAACTTGATAATAATCGGGTCAAGCAGCTAGAGGAAACATTATGCAGATCTTGAAAATGTTTTTTTTTTAATTGATCTTGACCGCTGAGAAGTCTGCAGTAGCATAATTATAAATTATAATATTACATGCAATTATTGTAATAAAATGATTGTAATTCATAAAGGCAACAACTGCAGTGAATTGTTATAGAAAAAATCGGCAACAAATTTTTGCGGAGCAGCGTGTCTGTGCACAGCTTAAAAAAAAATAAGTAATCATTAACGCTCAAACCGTTACGACTCTCTTTAATTATTATAATTTAAATTATTATTTAATTACGACAATCAATTGCATCTGTTCACAAAAACTAAACTAAAACTATTTACTATCTGTCAAATGTCTTTATTCATTAGCACTCTTAAAACAAACGGAATCTTTAAATTTTTGCCAATTGAACGGTGAAAAAATTGTATTATAACCAATAACAATAAAATACAATATAAAAGTAACATGTTCACATACCAAATATATGTAAGCATCAATACAACATTGCTTTAGCGAGTGTGTGTAGTGCGGTATCGGAAAAGCGAGCAAAATGTGCATGAAAAGCAAACAAAGAGATAAGTAAATATCACAGTAAAAATCAAGAAAACATTGCATAAACAATAAATATATACCTATGCATATATACATATAATATATATGATATACAACATTTGTGGAATACTTAAATAATAATTAATACAAACCTACATGAATACATAGAAGTACATAGACATTTATAAATTCATATATTACATATATATATATACATATATACATACATACACTATCATAATAATTCACTAATTGTTTAATTAATATTAAATTAATTGATTAGATTATACAACTAAAACAATAATACACAAAATAATAACTACAAGTATATTCAATATGATGACAGTGACAATGTGAAAAATTCAAATAAATTAAAACAAACAAAATTGAATAAAATTTGTTTTTTGTTGTTGTTGTTGTAGCGGCAGAATTCGGCCGAGTTAACAGTCCTTGGCCGGAATAAATCCGGATCCGTTCCGGTTACGTAGAGCCAACTGTCGTGGGAACGACTTGTTTCTTCTTGTCATGGAGCACGCTTGCCCCATTGCTAGTAACTTAGTTATCATATACGAAAGACCCAATCAGCGGGTCGGGTGTTTTACTACATGGCAGAAAAGCTTTATTTTTTCCAAGTTAGCGGTCAATACTAAATCTTCTATTCTATTCTATTTCTAGTCTATTACCAGTTACTTAAAACATTATGATCCACTTTCTACTTTTTTACGAGTAGATACATATGTATATTTCCATTTTCATTGTTGTTATATTTTCACAATACAAGTAGATGTAGGAACTCAGCCAATCACGCAGCAAATATATAGAGGTTTCGAAAGTTTAGTTTTCGCCATATTGTCGAAATTACCGACGTAATACGAATTTTAAGATACAATATTTTAAGATTATACACTTTTTTTTATGTATGGCTACACTTGGAATGCTTATTGCCCGAAAGTTAGGTTTAAACAACTTCAACGATTGGATACTACCAGTTAAGTTGAAAAGTTTGTTAGGCCAAATATTGTGGTGTCTTAAGATAAAAACTTTAGACAGACGTTCATTTCGCCAAACGGATGAAGTTCTACTTACAACCCATACGGATTCGGTAAGGTAAAAGCATTATCTGCCTTATACCATTGTTGAAACTGTTAATAATTGTCATGAACGCCAACTCCCTTAGTTATCATCGTTGTCATGGACGTTTGCAATCGTTTTAGTTACAAAACAAGTTCGAATTTTAGCGGCGTTTAGTTTTGCATAATCACCACATTTCGAATTTAATTGTGGTGCAAAACGTTTCATTTATCACTTTTATCATTTTGACGCGTGCCATGTCCAATCACTATTACAATGAACTTTGGCACCAAACTCATCATGAAATTGATCTTCTGGCTGTCGCCGACGAACAACAAGGTCAGAATTTCGAGACTGCACTCGCAGCATTGGCATCGACACTGCCGGATGTTGAAACTGTGACCGAGCCAAAGAAGATTATGCAAACCACTGTCTTTGAGTTCTATTTACGTTACATCGGTATCGCCAATCGACTGGAAGATGTCTATGACAAGATGATACAGCCGCAAAAACGCCTCTTAGTGCGCAAGCTACTCGACTCTTGTTTGGGACGCGTTATCGAGCTCAAGCACGATCTCGTCAATATTGATCTAATGGAGTTCAGTTATAATGATGAAGTTGTCCTACGACTTCAATTAACACCTGACGATACCCAATTGCATATACCGCGGTATTTCCTACGAGAACGTCGTCAAGAGATCGAACAACGCAATCGTATTATGCACGAAATTCTTGTGAAGTTGGGTTGGTTAGAGGAGCATCCCAGTGATGAGAAACTAACCGAAATTGAAGCTATACGGTTATTACAGATGCATGAGCGAGCACGTCAGGGTCGACTTCGGGCACATTTTATGAAAGAGATACGAATGCTAAAGGATAAAGGTAAAACTGAGGAAAAGGGAAAAGAGCGCAGTGATATGGGATTATTAGCTGCAATGAAGATACAAAAAGTATGGCGAGGCCATACGGCGAGACGTATAACGCGTCGACGAAAGCAGGAAGAAATGATTTTGATCGGCATGGTATCACCCACGGCGGCAATGCTAAAAAAACGAGCAGAAAAGGAGGAAAAGTTAAATGAGGTATAACTCGATAGAAATGTTGTTGTCAACAATGGGGTGTAGGTTTGAATTTGAGTATGATTACTTTTCGCCTAGATTTATGAACGTCGCTATGCAACGCAATCAGCTTATAAACAACAGCTCGAGTCGTCTCTAGTCGCCGTGAGAGAGGAAATCAAGTGTAAACAGGGCGCTGCAATCACCGAGGACATAACCGATGAATTACGGACCTGGATAAAGGAATGCTATGAAAAAACGGGAAAATTGCCTGAATTCCCAAGTGAGGAGCAAGGAGGATCACTGCATATTTTTAGTCGACCGGGTACGAATATTGGGGTCAAAATTTGTCATAATCATTACTCAGAGACCGTAGTAGACGAGTATAAGAGGTTATTTTTTTATATATATCTATCATATGACTCTCTCGGGAGAGTATATTTTACACAGATGCTTTACAACACCTTGCATCCGTAACCGCCCCTCTTAAAATCGTCTTCGGTTACTTGAAACATTCACGGACTAGATTAAAACCTCTTAAACCCTTTTATTTCCTGTTTGTTTTTTATTGGCTTAAACTAGGCACAGAAAGCGAGCTAAGTCGTTCCTCGGCGCGTTCTTCGAAGGAGTCACGTAAAACTAAGGACAAATCGAAATCGCCGGCTCGTAGCGGCGACTTAAATTTTAATGATACTCAAGCGGATGGGGAGAACTTTCATCCAGGACAAACTGTGTTTCTCGCAGATATCAAAACTGCAATTGAAGAGTGGGTTTTACATTACGTTAATAAAATATGTACTGTTACAAAACTGTTTGCCTTAAAAATATTAACTAGGTTCAATGAAGTTTGGCGAAATAAAGATGAAAGCGGCAATCCCTCACAATCTCAATACGATGATATGATTTACAATGAGAAATATTTAGAAATAGAATTAGACTGTCGGCGCACTGTAGATGAGTTAATGCGTCAGGAATTGGAATTACTGCAGGTACATAAAAAATACATTTTGTTTCAAAAACCAGTTACATTTTTCTAACGTACTATATAATATTATTTATCATTCAGACTGCTATTGGCAAAAAGGCCAAAAAGAGCAGCAAAAAGACTCGACGTTCAGGTAAAAAAAGTAAAAAGAAAAAGGAAAAAGATCTTACCCCTGATCGTACGACCGAATCACTTTATGAGGAGCTGGTAACTAATGGCATTATACGCAAATACCCAGAAGTCCGTCTCAGTCAATATATAGGCGATAAGGCTTTGAGTGAACGCTCCGGTACGAATCCATCCGCTGGAGATATTCGTCAGATTCTCATCGAATACTGTATACTACCATTGGGTTCAGAGGCCATACGCAATTCTTGCCCACTCATACGCTCAATTTTGTTAGCCGGTCCTCGTGGCTCTGGCAAGAAAGCGCTGCTGCATGCTATCTGCACTGAAGTTGGTGCTGTACTGTTTGATCTAACACCCGCCAATATAGTGGGCAAATACCCAGGCAAATCAGGTCTAATAATGCTAATACATTTGGTTTCAAAGGTATCGCGTTTGCTGCAACCAGCGGTCATATATATGGGTGATGCAGAGCGTCCATTCATGAAAAAAGTGCCCAAAACGGATCGTACAGACCCAAAGCGCTTGAAGAAAGATTTACCACGTTTGATAAAGACTATTGCACCAGAGGATCGTGTAATATTCGTGGGCACATCAAGTCTACCTTGGGAAGCGGACCAAAAACTACTACAACAAACTTACAATCGTTTCATTTATATACCCCGACCTGACTATGGCGCAAGATCGAGTGCTTGGAAGGCGCTAGCGAAGTGAGTGCACTGAGAATGTAAGATTTTAACAATATCAAGTTAATTGATATTTATGTTTACGTGGGTTTTAGTGAGTACACAGGAGGTTTATCTACTTTGGATTACAGTGTAATGGCGAAGATCTCTGATGGCTATACGATTGGCGCTATTGATTCGTGCTTGAAGGAAGTCTTAACGTGTAAGCGGAAGCTCCAACTTCGTACACAACCGCTAACGCATGCCGAAATAATAAACACTTTGAGGTTATTATTCAGTACTTTCATATTTCTGCAAAACGTATTATTTAATTTATCTACATATTTTTAATCATTCACATAAACGAATTTATAAATATGTATATATATGTATAAATAATTAATTAATTACATGTTTAAAAGGACTTGACTTATTTCAGTATGCGTGATCCAGTTTACCGCGAAGAGGAAGAAGCCTTTGACAACTGGTGGTCTAAAACACCACTTGGACGACGCTATGAACGTGCGTTAGAGATGGAGGGGGAAGCGCGCTTGGAAGAAGAGGAAAAAAATGCCAAACAAAGCAGTAATGGCAAAAAAAAGTGAATAAGAAAATAAAATATTTTTATACAGTTATATTTATTTTTATTTACCTTTCACTTAAGCTTAAAAATGAACTCTTTATTACCACTTTTGCAATTTATTTCTTTTATGAATAAACTGAATGCATTGCTTTCACGCATCACCGCATTTATAGCAGACTCTAGAGTATCCAAGTATTCATTTAGCACTGAGACTTTATCGCCAAGACACCACAAAAAGCTAATGTGAAATGACGGTTGCTACAAGAGTTTCTTGGTTATTATATTTATACTCGATTAAATATCCACTTACTTCATAGAAGCGTTGTAGTCTGTATTCTGTCATTACAACATCCACTTTTTCCATTAGTTTATGAACTCTATCGTAGTGCATATTATCAACTTTAAGTGCAATAAACGTACGTGTACGTTCAGCGTTGGTGTAAAAATGTAAGCGCCGCAAACTGATAGCAAATCTTAAAGATTTAAAATTAAAATAACTTAGCTACGATTTAATTCACTTAAAATTCTGTTAAACCACCTGGCATTAATTTCTAAAGTTGTTCTTAGCGACTCGACGAATGAATCGATGTGATGATGCTGTAGCACAACCGTCCGACTTAAGCTTATATGTAAATCTTCTATCGCATGTAAATCTTTTATGACATCAGCTAATACGTCTTGGCATACTTCCTGTATATCTTCCAACTGTTCGGACCGCACTAGAGCAATTAAAAATTAAATTGTTATTCATTGTATGTTGGAATATCATTGCATATTGATTGCCTGGTATGTGCACATAAGTTGCCCAATTTCCACGTTCGTGTTTGAAACTACGTATGCGTCCATTGTGTTCTTCTGGTTTATCTAAATGTATTTCGTTTGGCACAGCATTTGTAGGCTTTGCACCCAACAAGGACAGTGCACAAGGTAAAGTTCTATGAAAAACAAAATGTTTATGCTTAAGGTTGTAATAGCATTATTTTAAATAATTAAAAAGAGCTTACTTCTTTAGTGCGATAGGCTGCGTCAATCTTGCTATCTTTGACTTTGGTCCTGTGATTTCGTTTATCTGATTCGATGTTTTAGATGATATTTTGTGGCAATCATCAATACTGTCGTCAGATGAGCAACTGCTTTCATAATTTACCAATGCCATTGTTTAAAGTAAAGACGCGAAGTAAGTTATACTGTTTATAAAGAAGTAAGTTATATTTAACTAACTCAAAAGTTCAAATTAAATAAAATTTCACTATATTTTTAATAAAACTACGGTTGGGTATATTTGGGTTTTGATTTTTCATATATTTATAAATCTTTTCACCTTTATTCACAATCACAATAATTATAATAACAAATCCCAGATAAGTAATTATCATTGTATAAACCTTATACAATAGTAATTATTGATAAATTAACTCAAACTGACACATACTAATGAACAATGATCTCTAGTTCTGTGTTAGGCATGTTTACGAATTGCAGATACAGCAGTATCACAAAATATGCCATATTCCAACACTGTATTACATTTCCCGTTCGCTTTGATTAAAATCAGCTGATTTCGTTTCTTTCTTAACCTAGCAAAATTTTCGGTACTCATCCATTCGCTTACGATTACAAGACAAGTTACCAATCAAATTCTTTATTTAGCTGATTACTGATAGCATTTTAAAAAAACATATATATATACTTCGAGTAGTAGATGCATTATCAAGGAAGTGGCGAATGTTAGACAATTTGAGATATGCATTTAGGAGGTGTTTTATATGTTTATAAAGGAGAGTGGGGTCTGCCGTCCATTGACTTCGATTGCCTACGTGCTCTGGTAAGAAATATCACAACGGCGCCCACAGACAATCAGTCTATTGCTTTCAAGTTAGAAAAAGTTGCATCACCTTGACTATACAACGAAGTTTTGTGCAAAATTGACTTGCTTATAACTTTTACTAAGCAATCGCTAGGAGTTAGCAAAGATTGCAATATAGATTACGTTAATTCGTTTTATGTGTGCATGTATATAACTTTCTATAAATGTTTTATTTTTTGTTTCTTTTGAAGTGTTTAGTTAAATTCACACGATGCCCGCTGCAAATCGAAACAAATGCTAATCCCTTACGCTCAAGCACGGGGAAATTACCGTACTTACAGATTGGCAATAAAAGGTTCTGTGGGTACAGAGAAATCAAGAAGCTTTTGGATAAAGAGGTAAGCTGTGGGTAGAGGGATGCTAAAAACAGTGGTTAATAGTAAGCAATGTGACAAGTGTTAGCGTAATTGTAAAGTTGGTGATTTAGTGGAATATATGGCGCCAAAACATACATTGCGTTGTTCATTGTTTGTTGTGAGGACGAAGTGAGTACAGTGAAATGATATATGATACATAGTCATATGGAAATGATATAAATATTGTAATAAACATTGTTATACATAACGTTTAATAAAAATATTCTACTGCAAAATAATATATATGAATCGAAAAACTCGGGTTAGATATTAAATAAAATAAAGCTCGGCAATGTGTGTTTATCACATATTTTTAAATACTTCCGATCATTGATCCCCGACAGGTGCTTTTATATTTTTATAATGCTAATTATAGCCTTATGCATACATGAAAATTCTTTCACATTGAATACAGTAAAATCCTTTCTGGTAGTACAATTTCAACAATAATACAATTGAAATTAATGAAAACTTTGAGCCGAGTAGTGTTTTATTTAATAACAAGTCCGTTTGTTATTTTTAAATTTCAAAAAAATTTCAATAATTTAAAAGCAATTTGTTACTCATTATAGGGCTACCCGATAGATGCCAATCTGCAAAACAACCACAAATTGCTGTCGCCCGCTTATGCCAATTGGGTTTTCACCAACCTTCATTCATATTACTATTATTTCATGTTCGGTGAACCTAACAACTTTGATACTACACGCAGTCTGTATGCAAAAAGAACAATGTTTCCTTTCAATTTCTTTTACCCAAGCAGTTATCAGAGGGAAGCCTGTGATATTGTCATGGTAATGGGTGGTTTTGACCCGCGCGATAAGCTTGAAAATCATGATGGAGACTATGTATGTATACATTATAGGAATATTATTCGTTTCAATATGAGAAATGCTACAATCTTTGCATTTACAATCTTTGTATTTTTACAGCTCATAACGAATGCTAAAAAATGTGTCAACCTTCTATCAAAAAAATTGGGAAAGAAAGTATGGTTCTTCGGCGATGTCTTTAGTGAATTCGATGCTATCGTTTATTCGTACTTATCGGTGCTTTTTAAAGCCACACTGCCCAATAATCCATTACAAAATCACATAAAAGGCTGTCAAAATTTATTGAATTTTATTAATCGCATAACAAAAGACATTTTCAAAAATGAGGGATTCAATTCACTGAAAGCCATTAAAAGTCAATCATCCAATGATCCCTTACTAACAGCGACAGAGCGACATTTCTTGGAGTCTGAAAAGAAAACCAAAGTCTTAGCAGCGATTGGCGCAGTCGTGGCTATGGGCACATTTGCCGCTTGGCGTGGCGTTTATAAACAGGTATTTTTTTAATATCATTAAAGATTTTATATGCGTGGTATTTGTGCTGTTATAAATTTCTCGCAAATTATTCAATTTTTTTATTTTAGTTTTCGACTTCCCGTCGCTATTACGATGGTTTGGAGTATGAAGATGATGAAGCATTGGAAGACGATGATATGGATTAATGATCAAGTTATCAAGAAAAAGATTGCCTTCCAAAAAGCAAATACGCGTGAACCTACCAAAACTCTTTGATAAAGTATGTTTAGTAAGCTTCCTCCAGCTCATTCTACCGAAAATATTTAACTACCGCCAACTGTTACAAATATATAGTCACTTTAAGTTTTAGTTTAATAAAAAAAAATTTTAAGATATACATATAAATAGTTTTAAACTTTGTACAATTTTTTAACTTCCTTAAAAGTATTGAGTGATATTCTTGTATGGTATAATAAGTGTTTGAAAAGGTTTTTGGTATTCACCTAACTCCAATTGTTTCATAAAAAAGGAAGCATTTAGATTTGTATAAAGTTCTTTATATGCTGTGATTATATGAAGACATTTTTTGAACGCGTCAGCGCTAATTTAAAAACACTAAATGACCTACGATATACCGCTTAAAATGCTACTTCGTTAAGTTAATAAAACTATTTTAGTATATACTTATTTATGTATGTGTGTGGGAGCGAGATTTACTTTCCGGAACAGTTAATTCAAGCTTTAAGCGCATCCTGCAATTTCTTTCTAGCCACATTAACTCGATCCTCTTGTCGCCGTATGTCGTCATCCGACACTAAAACTGCTTGCATAAGCGGTTGTTCGGGATTCAAAAATGCTGTTGCATTTTTATTCATCTCAGTCTTTGTGGATGCTTGACCCATTACAGGTACGTTAAGTACATGCAGAGCTGTAGCCAATGATTGTAGTACTGTTTGCTCATTAACATTCGGCCCGATGGTGCGTATACTCTTCGGTAATACAATATCATCAAACTCTTCACCGGTAGGATGGCATGCACGTAACCCTTCCAATCGTTTCTCCCAAAACATTTGCTTTGGTTTTTCTTGGCCGCTTGTCTGTTTTGTGTTGTCATTACGGACTTTAGTATGCTCATGATTCCGAATTACAGTAACCGGTTGTTTGAAAATCGATGCGGTCTGTCGTATAGGTGGCACCAGAGAGGCATCTGTGCGTGGTACGCGACTATATAAAGGAGTATGTAGAAGTTAGTATAATAGTTTTACTGAAACCTTTATGTTTTTAGTCTATATGGATGCTTAGACATCTGTACATAAAATAAAAATCAATTACATAGAATCAATTGGCTATGTTCATGCAATAAGAGAAAGCATTATACACAATATATGTAACAAAAACACTTAAATTGTAATGCAAATGTTAGTGGCGAATCAAATAAAAGCATCCTAGTAGCAGAGGGCGAGGAAATAGCTTCGTTACAATTGCCAATAAAAGCCAATTCTTACATTGTCTCCAATTTACTGTTTCAATTTAGATTTTATTCTCGGACTCTGTCATCCTACTACCGGCAGATTGGTGAACAATCAAAATTAATAACATTTATTAAAACAGAATACAAATAAACAACATGCAACACTACAGTGATTATTGTAAACACTAACTGCCGCGATTTTTAGATTAACTTTAACACGTTAACATTTTTATATTCATCTTCAAATCATATTAAATAAAAAAAAGAAGACTTTTCGGCACTACCTGAATTCTAATTGCTGACGTGAATTCGCTGCTGATGTAGTTGCAGCACCACATGCGCTCGATGGGGCACAACCGCTACTAATGACATTTGTATGCATGCCTTGTAACTGATGGGTCTGTGACTGATTCTGAATTTGAGATTGGGATTGGGACTGCGCTTTGAATTTGCGCTTTAATGTATGAGATGTTGTTGTTGGCATTAGTGGTTGTAGTATGTTGGCATTTGTTATAGTTGATTGTGAAGAATTTGGAGAGGAACACACGGATAGGGATAAAGTGTTACCACCACTGTACTGTGGTGGCGGTGGCGGCATTGAAGTATTGTCATTTCCACTTGCACCGCCACCAGTTCCGCTGCTATTACTTGTGCTACTGCAACGGAAAAGCGAAATAGATGGTGGTTGCATGTGACGCACGAATCTGCCGCTTTGAAAATCAAATGCTCCAATGTCAATTGCATCACCCAGACATCTTGCTAATTGTGGCTTGCTTTCAATTTTTTTACCGGTCGGGCTGCTTATTTCGCAACAGAATATCAGTAAGGACAAATAGGCATTTATGGGATGTAAAATGCGTGCGGGATTTTATTTGTTTATTTTATTGTGGTAGAATATTTTGTTTTAGTGTAAAGCGCAGGGGGACGTGCGTTGCACAGGTGTAGAGGGTGAATTGAGGGTTGATGAGATTTTGTGATAATTAGATACAATCAATTATTTTAGACCATTTTTACTGAACTAATTACTAAATGTGAACTCTTCTATTTTACCTGTAATAGTAGACGTCGACTTTGCCAGCTGATATACCAGACTTGCGAAGAACTTCCTCTCTTTGCCAACCTTTTGGCAACGAGTTGCAATCTACGCGCTTACGTTCAATTGTAATACTCGAATTCATTGATTACAAAATGCTTTCAATGTTTATAAAACAAATTTACAATTTTGATTAAACAATAAAAGCGTCTGCGAAAATTTCCCCTTAAGTTGTCAAAATTATTTTATATTTTCTCTCTGAAGAAATATACAGAGCGAAAATTGAGTTAAGTTTGTTGTGTTTCTGCTATATACAGAGTGACTTGACTAATTAGTACATAAAAATATTTTTAAATAAACAAAATAAAGCGATAATTTTTCGTAACAATTTCTTTACATGTATTATTATTTTATGAATTTAATTTACACAGATGTCTGTTTCTAACGTCGTTCACCTTAGTTTATTTAGTCTAGTTTGATTTCAAATATTATGGCATTAAACAATATTAATGACATAGTTGTGGCAACGCCAGTGCCCTCATAGCAGAGAACGTATAACACCTTCTCTATGATATATGTTCTCTGCTCATAGTGAAAACCAGAACAACTTCCTATTGCTTTCAATTTAACTTTTTTTCAATTTCTATGTGAAAGATATATGCAGTGGAAAATTTTGAGTTACCATTTATGTTTCTCTTATTTCTTATGCTTAGCGTTATTTTAATGCTAGTCGGTTGACAAGCTTCAGACGTAAATGATAAAAACGAAATCAACAACTTTCTAATTTCTAAGGAGAGTGTTTTCACATTTTCACTTCCTTTCCCAAGGTTAAATACAAAGCTCTAAAGGTGAATAAAAACTATTTGATAATTTTTTATTTAGCGAAATTATCATGTGATTTACTTGTGAATTATTTTTTTTAGACACTATGGAATTAAGTTTAGAAATTTGGTTGTGGATATCTCTTGCCGTTTTGGTGCATTTTGGTGTATATGTATTCGTCATGCGTAAACGACCAAAAATGCTGGTGGGACGTCATGTGGTTATAACTGGAGGCTCCCGAGGCATAGGACTTTGCCTAGCCGTAGAATGTGCAATGAAAGGAGCTAATGTAACCGTAATTGCTCGTGATGAAAAATTCCTCAGTAGGTTTAATTATGCTATCGGTCGAAGTTGTTGTTTTAATCTGTTTATAGACACGCATATTGCAATAAATTAATAATAATAATTTTTTTCTTATCTTGCTAGGTGGGGCTGTAGCGCTAATGGAAGTAATACGCCAAGTGCCGGAACAAAAATTTCAGTATCGTTGCCTTGATATTGCTTCGCACTATGACGATATAGCAAATACTCTTACAGAAGTTGAGGAGGATTTAGGAGATATATATATGTTAGTTAATTGCGCGGGTATGGCTATTTGTGGTGTGTATGAGGATATTTCAGTGGCCGATGCGCGAAAACTTATGGATATCAATTATTGGGGCAGTTATAACTGCACCCGTTTTGTACTGCCTAAAATGAAAAAGGCACGAGAGGGTATCATTGTATTTACATCCTCGTTAGCAGCTCTATTCGGTATTTACGGCTATGGACCGTACACGGCTTCGAAATATGCTGTGCGTGGTATGGCCGAAACCATTGCAATGGAAACGCGTCATCTGGGTATATTGGTCACATTAGCTTTGCCAGCAGATACTAATACGCCTGGTTTTGAAAATGAGGAGAAGACAAAACCGAAAGAAACGAAAATCATATCAGGTAGTGGTGGCTTGGCGGAACCAGAACAAGTGGCTAAACGAATTCTTAACGATGCTTTGGTAAATTCGAAAGAACAACATTATCCGCTTTATCATTTCATTATGTTTCTTTCTATTTCCTTTACAGTGCGGTAACTTCATTTCGATTTTAGGGGCTGAGAGTTGGTTCCTTACATTACTGGGAGGGGGCCTTTTCCGTTGGGGTGGATTTTTTCAAAATTTAGTCCATGCTTTGTTATTGGGACCCCTACGTATTGTCGGTTGCTTTTTACATTTGCACTTCGAACGGGTAATTAAGAATTGTGCAAAGGAAAAAAAGGACTGATGAGATTCCATTATCGATATTATTAATATTTATTCAACGTACTTAAGATTACGTTTAATTATTTACATGTGTTCAGTGCCTTTATAAAGACAGCACGAAAAAAAAAAATTCGTCATTCCGTTATCCATTTCTACAATTGTAAAAATTATTAAAAACATGACAATATAACAATATAAGCATAAATTAGCCAAAGAATAAAATCCTAAAATTTATTATCCATTTTACAACTCTAACACAATAAAAGGAATATGAAAGAATAAAAACTTTTTAAAAATACCGTAAATAATATTTGATAACCTCGATTTGTTTAATTCTAATTAGGCGAATAATTTCATTATGTTGGCAACTCCGTGAACGAATTGAGAAAAATAATACAAGTTCACTTAAAACTATTTCGTTGGCAATACCAGACGCCTCCTTGACGTTTTAGAAATAAGGCCATCACGTTGCAAGTAGAATTTTCGAATTTTTGCGAAATTTATACAAGGAGTTTGATACATTATACTGGCGTTTATAAAATATTTTCAATATAAAAAAAATCATTTCTAGTGTATTGTGTATGTTTTGTATTGTGAGACCATTTACGTATTTTCTTTTAGAACAAACTATTTAATTTTAGAACATTAAAAACTAGTTTAAGAAGTGCGTCATGGACAAGAATGGAGCAATGGACAGGCGTTTCAGTTTAAATATGACAAGTTTACCCAATCCAATTGCAGAATCAACATGTGTAAATTTGAATGGAACCACAAGTGCTGTTACTGAAAGAAATAGGTAAGAAATGCAAAAATGTTCAATGCGATTATTTAATGATATATTTTGTACAACAGCGCTGTTAATCAATTTCGCTGGGGAGGTAGTCCTATTAGTCCAAAAAACCGTAGTAATTCAAGTCTTGGCATAAACAGCAGCAGTGCAAACAGAAATAGAGCTACCAGCCCACAGAGAACTAGACTGAACCTCAGTAAAATTGATCCAAGGTAAAAAATGTTGCTTCATTCTTATTAATAATGTAATTGTACGTTTAATAATACTTAATATATATATATATTGTACACTTGCAATTCTAGAACATATGCAGATGTTCAAAGTCGTGGATTGGTGTCACGTATTATACAATATCACGAAAGTGGTACGCGTCTGAACCGCAGTAAGTCTACTAGTAATCTGTGCAGCAAATCTGGTAAATCTTCAATAGCTCAACTTCAGAAAACTGATTTACCTTACCGCGCAACACAGCAAAATGTAGCAATGACACGAATTGCCCCACCAAGTACGATTTTTTCCATAATTCAAATTATTAAAATCTAATAAAATTATATAATTGCTTTTAGAAAAATCAATCTTTTATGGCAATACATTGTCGAGTTTACTGCGATCGAATTCTGTGATTAGTGCTCAAAAGAGCGATGAGGAAATATCAAGCGAAAATCGCCCCATTTTGCATCCACCTCCAACAGAGAATGAGCTGGCGCCAACGCGCAGTGTTTTAGATGTTCTGAAAGAGATATCACGCAAACGTATAAATAGTGATGTAAGCATACACATTAAAGCTTATCTTACGCAAAATAATAAGTATATTTATTTCAGGATTCTGATGGAATACCTGACGTCAATAAAAAATACTGTAGCCGCGAAAGTAACGATACGTCGTACGATCCGTCAACTGTTTCTCTTGGAGTTCGTTGCACAGGAATGCATAACATGAATCCTCCATCAATTCATGTACCATCACAAAGTTTTAAAAGGCAGCGCGAGCAAATAGTGATTCCTTCATCCCATACGCAAAACATGAATAGTGCTTGTGGAACTACATTTTCAAGTGTACGTTTCCCATTACAAGCACAACATTCGCCAGAACAAATTGCAAAGAAACGATTGTGTAGTTTCAATAACGATATAACCAGTTCACTGAGTTCAAGTCTCATACATGCAAACAAACGGAAATTTTACGAACAACAACTTTCTAACAAACAGCGGTCACCACCATCTGGTACGGAAGAGTATGAGACACAAAAATCGAAGATGCATCGTCAACAATCCGATCTGCGATTCCACCAATTAACTCAGAGTTTGAGTTGTAATACACCAATAACGCCTATACCAACGACACCGTTATCTCAAAGTACTAGCGTAGCGCCTATTCAAAATAATATAGTAAACGGCACTGACAGATTGACAGAAAGGGGAGGTATAGTCAAACGTACTGTGTCGGAACCACCGTTGTTGCTTAATAATCAAACGCAAAAACCGAAAGTAACGCTATTCAATCGTAACTACAATGAATCAACAAAACTTAGTACATCTGATGGTAATAATGGAGAATTATTAGACAATACTATTGCTGTGGATGATGACGAATGTGCTGATATACAATTCGTGAAGCCGAAAAAGAGCTCTACGATAGTAAACAAGAAAAATCCACTTATTGAACGCACCCAAAAATCAAAACTGGCTATGATGCTAAGTGGTCTGCGTGGAGAAATTTATCAAGGCGAAGATGGTTTCGATGAGGTGGATAAATTATCGAATAAAACTTTAGCTAGCCCAACAAAGGAGAGCAATACCCCAACAGAAAAAGATGTATCCGTTAGAAAAGTGATGACATCAATAGCTTCTACAGCAACCACAATCACTACAAAAACTGCGGCTAATTTTGCAATAAAAAATTCAGATAAATCTGTTATAACATCGACAAGTGCATTGGTTCCACCAGCGTCAGCATCTGATAATACTACAAAAAGTACTACCCTAACATCAACTGTTGGGGTGTCATTAAGCAGTTCCACACCAATCTTATCTATGCCGGCAGCTTCAACAACAACTTCAATACTTAGTGATTTCCAATTGGCACCCTCACTAGTTGCCACCAGCACCTCAGCTTCAATAAATGCGTCGCCAACAATAAGTTCAACAAGTATCGCTACAAAGACAGCATCCCCATTGGTCGGTCTAAAATTAACCCCGCAAAAACCTATTATTAACTTCGGTAGCAGTACAAGCTCATCCGCGCCGACAATCAATTTAAATGCCACAACCGCAACCGCAACCACCACCACAACATCTTCCGCTGCTGTACCGCAACTTCAGGGATTTTCATTCGGAGCCCCAACAAAGACCACTTCAACAACTGCAACACCAATAACAAAAACTGATGTTGTTACCTCGTCGGTTAGTGCTGGCGGATTTAAATTTGGAGTAACACCGAAGCCAGAAGTTTCAACGACGGTAACAACAGCGCCAGCTGTATCTGCATTTGGCAATTTTGGAAACTCTATGACAACAACATCAACGCCAGTTTCTTCAGAAGCAGCAAAACCAGCAATGGCGTTCGGTGCAAACGCTATTAGTACAAGCGCAGCAGTTGCCAAGCCCACATTTAATTTTGGTGGCAGCATTGCAACACCAGCTCTAAACGCAAATACGACAGCTGCAACCACTTTCAACACTGTCGCCACTGGCACATATACCTTTGGCACTGCAACTAATTCAACAACCACTTCAGCACCATCGACAATGGTCCAACCAATTGTATCTACAGCGCAATCGGCAAGTGTGTTTGGTAGTATTGCAACGACTAATACTTTTAAGGGTACAACAGAGGCGGCTGCAATACCTTTCGCTTTTGCCACAACCACTAGCACCGCACAGAACACCTCTGCGCCAACAACAAATACAGCTTTTTGCTTTGGTGGCTCTACTGTCACTACAACAAACACCGGAGCGCCTGCCGCAACTGCCACTAATCTTTTCGCTTTTGGAGGTCAAAAGTTGACTGCTGTAACCACTACTGCAAGCACTCCCTTTGGTTTTGGCGGTAAAAACCAAACAGCGGTTGCAACAACCTCTGCAACAACTACAAAAAACGCCAATGTCAATAAGGCGGCTTTCAGCTTCGGTGGCGAAGAAAATAGTGTCGCAACCAACACGAATTCTTCAAGCGGTAATCTGTTTGCATTTGGCGGTTCATCCAAGACGAGCGATAACAAGATATTTGGCACAAATACTCCAGTTGCTAACAATTTACAATCAACAAGCGGCCACCCAATTCAGCAGGCCGCATTCACTTTTGGTGCGGCTGCTGCCCAAAGAGCGACTCCAACATTCGGTGCCGTTAGCAGTGTTGCGTCTTCGAAACCTGCATTCGGCTCTACTACAACAGCAGCAGCAACCGCTCCTTTTGCGTTTGGTGGCAGCAGTGCCAATAAATCAACACCAACAGCATCGACAGGCGTTGCAAACAACGCCCCAACTGGAGGATTTAATTTTGGAGCATCCAATGCTGGTGCAATCAATGGCAGCAACACATCATCTACCAATATATTCGGTGCGCCAACACCAACGCCGTCGACAGCCGGCACCAGCATTGCGAAGCCTCCATTTAACTTTGGTGGTGCAACAACAAATAACAGCGATAAATCTATATTTGGCGGTAGTGCAACGAGCAGCACCACAAACGTCGCCAGCAGCAACAATGCATTCGGTGCGGTCACAGGTGCCAATAATAATCAAACGAATAAAACGTTTAACTTCGGCGGCCCTACAACGGTCAATAGCAACAACACTTCATCGAATCTATTCGCCGCAGCCGGCAACAAATCGACAGTCGGCGGCTTTTCTTTCGGCACTAGTACAATGGGTAATAAGCCACCAGCTGTTGCATCTAATGCCACACCGTTCGCATTCGGTGGTGGATCAACAAACGGCGGTGCAACGGCTACCGCCATCGCAGCACCGTTTAGTTTCGGCAGCAGCACGGGAGGAGCGCCAGCTAACAAAACATTCTCTTTTGGTAGCACCGGCAATGTTTCAGCGCCGCCAGCAGCAAACGTAAGTAGCATTTTCGGCGGCGCCCAGCAAACTTCAGCAACGGCCTTTAGTTTCTCAGCAGGTGCATCAGCTCCAGCTGCACCTTCAATTGTGACAAATATATTTGCACCACCCACCGCACCTGCTGGAGCTGGGCCGATTGGTGGGGGTGCTGCAGCAACTGATCGTCCCATACGTCGCGCTACACGTCGGTTGCAGAAAACTTAGCAACCATAAGAACTAATTGACAAAGGATAAATGTTATCATCCTATAGCTAAAAATAACGGTTATATTTATTTAAATAATTTAACAATACATATTTTGCAAACATTTGTTATTGACGGTATATAAGCTAAAAATATAAGAGTCACATATTTTCGTTACAGCAAGATTGTTTAAGAATATGAAGCTAAGCAAAAATAAACCATAAAGAAATTCAATAAATGCGACTATATACAACTTCAAAATCCCCATATTGTTCTTTCATTGGAATGGCTAAAGCTTTTAACAGAATCCAACATTCATTAGTGATTTGTGTTTACTTTTTAGAGGAGCCAATTTTAACAATCAATCTTACAGTAGGTCAATAAATAATACGAATAAATAAAAATATTACAAGCCATACATAAATTGTATATGACATATATAGGAATATTATAGAATTAATAAATACATGTTTACGTATGCATATACATATGTACATGCATAGAACTTAGCTATATACAGCCTTTTGGATACACCAAAAACACAACTTAATAGTTATCACTTGAAATGTATTTTAACATTGTTTTTGTGTGTTTAAATTGAATGCCATCGGTGGCGTTCAACACCTCATTTATGAAACTTTCTGAATTGTGTATAGTGGTGCCACCCAATATCACTTTGTAACCGGCATTATTAAGCTGATGTACTGCAAGTGCTTCTTCATATGTTGCGCCGCCAATAATGAATACGACCACCTCTTGCGGTGGACGACGGAAAGGCACAAGCTCAGAGTTGATGGCGGGGTACATAGGGTCTAGTTCCCGACCCTTGAAAACTTCCTCTAACGTTTCTTTGAGCAGTGGTGTATGTTGCGTAAAAACGTTCTCCACGCCCTTTAAGCCCTACATAACGAAACCAATTTTAGAAAATATTTACGTTACAAATTGTTGTTTTCGAAATTATTGTCTACAACCTTAATTAAGTTGCGGGTCAGTTTGACGGCATCGGATATGCGCACCAAGTTGAATATTTCTCCCTGCCTCATATGCGTACCAGCATATTCAATTAAACTAGGCACGATTGCTGTTTTTCCACCACGTGTTTTAATAATTTGCAATAAGCTAGAAGTATCACAATTGGCATGTCGCTCATAACGCAATGCATAAAGCGCCACTAGTTTTATAGCATCGTCGACCGAAATGCGTTCATCGGCTATAATTTTTCGTATACGCTGTAACTGTGCCGAATGTTCCGCTTTACAGGCAACTTCTTGCTCCAATTCGGATACTTCGAAAAGGTTCCGTTTAGTGGTAAGTGCTGACAATTCACCCATTATGCAGAGATGTTTTTGTACCGTACCAGACATTTTCTTGAACTGTGGATATGTCTCAATGAAATTCTTCATATCAGCTATACTTTCAACTTTTTTCTGATCCTTAGCTTTACGCTGGAACTCCTCCATTAAGTTTTTGATTGTAGAACCGATTTCACCAAAATTTGCGTACATATTATTGCCGTAGAACTCATCCTGATCACCGGATAAAACGAGCTCTTTATAATCTTTTGGTATACCCGGTATGTTAGAGAGATCAACGCGGTTGTTATGTATATTTAATAGTTCATGAACCATTGCTTGATATGTCCACTGATGCAACAATGGCGTAACAGGATCGTCACGACGATCCAATATAAGCAGTAATGGTGGTGCTGCGCCATTCTCATGGGTGCGTGAAAAATCAAAAAGACTTGACTCTTTACAAATATGCTCATATATTTGCTTTGCCAATGTTTGCGATACGACTGAACCAGCGCGATATCGTATAACCGGATTGAGCTTAAGAGATAATAATACGGCTAACACGCCTTGCACTGTGCGTCCAAGCGCGTCCGGCAGCCAATTTAGACGATGCATACTGCTATTTATGTTGAGTGAAAACAAATTTGGATTTACACATAAATAGTCTGCGTATACTTCTTTCACTTCGCGTACTGATTCACTTTCATCGCACTCTGCTAGATATTTAATGTCAGTGCGTGGAATGATGTTACTGAAATCTATTGATTGAGTTTATATGGGTGGAAATGAAAGAATTTATATAATGTCATTACTTACAAATAAAATATGCACCATATTTGGGACTGCGGAGTTCATCGGCTAACAACTGTATGTTTTGTTTAGTAGGCCTTATAAATACAATGCATTTAAGATTTTTCATGCGCTCATTAGAACGACCCGAATCAAGACGTTCAAACAAATAAACCTCTCGTTGAAGCATGTCCGATTGGCTGAAAGCCATTGATATTATACTTGTCTATAGATATTTCAGTTATAAATTTTATGAAAACTAATAAGTATCTGTAATCTGTAATTACATACCGTCTCTTTGTCCAGCAATATAGTCTTCATTCCCGGCCCCGATTCATTACACATTTTTTCCACGTACAATTTGATGGCTGTAATTAAATTCATTATTGCAAAGATTTTGTTCAAATCCAAATTCAATTGGTAAATTTTAATTTTTTCTCAGATGTACAAAATATGCTTCTTAATAATAAAAAAATTATTGTATGTAAATATTACCAGACGAATGTAATTATATTGATAATAAATTAAATGAAAATATATTTTAAACAGTGCTCTCATCACATTATTTATTTATATAAGTACAATAAAATCATCACATTAATATCAATTTTTACTTTCACTTAAATAAATTTTTAATATATTTGATATAAGTATATTTTACAATATTTGAGTTAAAAAGGAAAAATTGGCAACATATTTAATCAGCTGACTGTTTGTTGTTGCATTTTTATGCCTTCTTTCTATCAACTCGACAATAATTATAGTTGTAAAACTCATTTACAGCTTTTACTTATTATTATTAAAAATTATACTATTTACATATATAGTATAGTAATAAATTTAAAAAATTCTAAATAATATGTAACTTTCAGGTTATAGACTTTTTTAGTAATATTATATATCATTTGACTTGAAACCCTCTTTCTGAATGTCAACAAACATTGCTACCAACTTAATTGCGTTTATCATAAACTCATTTTATCAATTAACATTCTAGTTATTTTATCAATGTGCAAAAAAGAAATTAATCTTTGTTTAAATATAGCATATAAAGTTTCATTATATTATCATATTAAGAAGTGTAACGTTAATACTTAGTTAAATGTATATATATGGGTGATTGATCTATAAGTGTCGTGCTGGCAGGTTAATAGTGAATACAAATAACAGTTGTGAAAGTGTACCATAACATATCCTATATTGAATAAAACAATTTGATAAACGTAAGTTTAACTTTATTGTTTACAAACATAATAGAGGGATTGTATATTACCATATATATATTAGATAGATTGTAGGCGGTATAGTAGTATAATATTCCATAACATTTACATGTATTCAGGAAGCTCATACATGTGTAATAGGTATGAGAATTAAATTTCTAAAGAAAGACATTGGAAGATTGTAAGGAGCATGTCACTCCTATAATTGTTCACCGCAAAACATCTGTAATAAAATTAATAAATCTGGAGGTAAATTATTATTTATTATATATGAAAAGCAGGAATAATCGAAGTGAATTTTAATATTAATTTCGGTAGTCGTTAAAAAAGAGATGTAAGAAAAAAAATTAAGATACAACATACCAATATTCAATGCTTAAAAGTTTCAATAAATAGTAGGTTGCGCAACTCATTAAACCAGTTTCTACAAGGTGCGTTCCAAAGTAAACAGTAACAAAGTAAACTCTAGTGACGCCATCTATATGTCGACTAGCGCGTTAGAATCTGCTATCCTTTATCGACTTCCAGTAAAAATTTCATGACATTTCATCTATTGGTAGTGAAGTTATTGCGTTTTAAGTGTCAGTATGTTTTTGTCATCGGTGCGAAAATGAGCTTCAAACAAAGAGCCAACATTAAATTTGGTTTTAAAATTGGTAAAATCGTTTACCGAAACGTTTCAATTGATGAATCAAGTTTATGGCGATGATTGCCTATCCCGTAGCAGAGTGCACGAGTGGTTTCAACGTTTTCAAAGTGGTCGTGAGGACATAAATGAGAAATGAGCCGAAACCCAAAAATTCGCGCCTGGATAAGTCAAAAGTGAAGACAATGCTGATGCCTGCCAAAACGTTAATGCGGTATTCTACCTTGGAGTTTTGAAGCGTTTCGTGTGCCGTATTCGACGTGTTCGGCCCGAATATGGTGAAGATGGAAGTTGGCGTTTGTTGCACGATAATGCGCCGTCTCATCGATCGATGCTTGCGGCCGATTATTTGATCAAAAATCACATTTTAACAATCAACCACTCCCCGTATTCACCTGATATGGCACCGTGCGACTTCTACCTTTTCGGAAAAATGCATTTACCGATGAAAGGAAAGCGTTATGCAGACGTAAAGGCCATTCAAAAGGCTAAAACACTCGTTGACATGCTTTTGGAGACTATTTTGAATAAAATTAATTGATTTTGCCAATAAAACCATTTGTCTTTTTTTTTTAAAGTCCTGTTTACTTTGGAACGCACCTTGTAATTCACTGTATGCGCGTTAATGTATCATCGGGGTTGAATAAACTTTTGACATCGTTGAAAAATGATTGAATATCTTATACGACAGTATTTAGAATCACAATAATTATATAAACGACTCTCAATATTTTTGTCATTGTAAATGAAATCAACAATACTTTCTTTTTAAATCCTAAAATATTTAATTAAACAACATAACGTAACCGACTTACAAATCTATGCATATAATATTGAAATTAAAAGAGAACAGAAAAAACGTCAAATTCGGTTGTACCGAAGCTATAATACCCTTCACAAATACAAAATATTTCATACAAAGACTTGATTTTGGTCGGTCAGTTTGTATGGCATCTATATGCTATAGTGGTCCGATCTGAACAATTTGTTCGGAGATTGCGGACCCGGATTTTTATCCGGCCAAGGCCTGTCACTCGGCACAATTCTGCCGTTTCAACAACAACATCATATACCATATTGTATATATATATATTTTTATAGGGTCTCCGATATTTCCTTATGGTTATTACAAACTTCCTGGCAAACTTTGTATACCCTGTTCAGTGTATAAAAATAGATATTCGTCTAGTGACCCATTTACCCATTTGTGGACAATATACTCACGTACACTATTTGTATATGTATATGCGAGTATAGACTGGTATGAATGCTATCTTAGTTAGAACAAACACTCTAGCATTAAATATCATAGTTACTTGGCTGGTTGTTGTCTTCACATATTTGCATAATGTACACTGCAGTTGGCATATCCACCAGCTGGTAACTTCATACATACACACATAAGTCAAATAGGTATCGCGTGTATTTCGGTCATCAAATAAAAGTGAAAGAATTATGCACAACATAAAAGAATAGCCCAAGATGAATTTCAATGATGACTTACGTAAAAAATTTATAGCAACTTAATACTTCGACAACTATGCTTCACTATGTATTCTTACCAGACGAATATAATGGAACGATTTCAGAATAACGAATAAATAAACAGTTTAGGGGTTCCATTCGAGAAGCCAAGTACATTATACGAGTAGCATTACGTGATTTCAATCATATTGCCCTGCCGCTAAAACTAATTGAGCTAAATAAGTAGTTATATATACACATATGTACATATGTTCCTTGACACCAGAAAAAGATCGTTATTGTAGATGGGCGGAAACGGATAACTAGTCCACTAAATCGAAAATGCAAATATCTCACAAAACACTACAACTATAACAAACAAGTTTTGGATGATATCCATTTATATACATTCGTATAGCCCAACTGTATCTTACAGTATAAAAATGGATGAAATCAGACTATAACCACGCCAACTTCTCCTATATAACAATTTCATTCGATTCTTTCATTTTACAGTATATAAATCGAGAGTCAATGACGTTATCGAAATAAAACATTTCGCGAATAGTGCTTTAAATGTATTCTATCTCAGGTTTAAAAATTGTTAAAATCGGACCATCATTTTCAGGGCCCTAAATACCGCATACGAGTATATCGTATATGGACAACAGTGCCTATGGCTGAACTTTTACCGAAAATGTCGCTTGATCTGTAAGATATATTTTGAAATATGAAGAGTATATTTTCCTGATTGCAGCACACCTTGTGATTTTAGCACACCTATGCGTAAAATCAGGCTTCCCCTTGCTCCCATATACCTAATATAGAGATTTTCGAACTTCCGGTTGCCTTTATGTATCATATATCGGTCAATATGTAATATATCTTAGCAATAAGTGCACGTATAATATTGGATAAATAGTCTAATACTGAAAATATTAAAAATCTGTCTGTAAATTATCCCAGCTCCCATGTGCTACTTATGGTATATGTATATCATAATTTTTGCTATTCTGGCAAACTTTATTATCATACAAACTTAGCTCTTCCTTACTTGTTGAATAAATATTTTTATTTTTAATTCGAATTCAGTTTTGTATATATGTATATTGTGTTTAAATCTTATACTGATATTCATTGAATAATGATTTTTTTTTATATTTTTTTTTTGTGTATTTCGTCTGAATATTCAAAATTTGTTGTTGAGGATTTATGCTTTTGAACTTTTTCTTTATTTGCCTTTGTGGTGTTGGCAAGTTTCTCAACACTCATACTTGAATATTCGTAAATATGAAGACATAAAAGGAGAGCTGTCAATAAAGAACTTAAGAATATTTTTACAATAATTTTTTAGCATAGCCCTTTAAGGTGTTTTGTATTAATATAGTACAGTATAGGTTTTTATGCTACTGAATTGAGAATACGATAATTTGTATCACCAAACGATTCAAAAATATAAAGTTTTATAAATATTTACCGGCAATGCGTGTCTTTTTTTTAATTCAGGGCTTCGAATGATGCAATTTTAATTTATTAGCAAAAATTAGTAACGAATTGTGATTTTGAAAGTTGTTACTAAAATATACATTAATAAACTATATAACACTTAGCATGCGCTTAATATCCATGTCGTCAAAACACAAAAGAGCCCTTCCAAGTGTCAATTTAAAATCAACTTTAAAACATACGAATTAACTGGTTTGGTCAGTCAATACGCTGATTGTAGTAGCCTTTTGCAGACTTTCTAAGAGAATCTTGTGTACTGATGAACAAAGCGATTATCAAAAATTCACCTTTCTCATCTGCGCCTAACTTCAACGAAATTATACTCCATACAGATTTATATGTGTGTGTATGAATGTTTAAACATTCACCTTAATACAAGTAGTTGTTGTGACAAAAGAGGTTTTGAACTTGCGCGACGCATTTTACCTCTGTTCGTGCGTCAAATAGCAAGATCAGAGCTCAGTCTGCTTGGTAAACTGCTTTCGAATACTCGTACTTGGAACTTTTCGGACGCGTCATAATTTAATAAGAATACAATCGAACGTTTTAAAATTGATATATTAACAATTTATTTCTTCGTCGTACAAAGCTATCACCAATACCTTTAAAAATGACCGAAATTAACAAGTAACACAAAAGAGGTTAATCGCATATGTATTTAAGTATGCAACAAATATACTTGAAAAAGTCATCTATCAGTCAAATGTTGTGCTTACTTTTAGTTAGCTACGCTATTTTGCCGGGCACATGGGCTGCGCCACAGCTTCTCACCAGTTATTTGCCGGCTTCTATGCAAGCGCTCGCCTACTACATCGACTATTTGCAGTATGAGCCAATATCGTCGACAACTGTTGAACCACCGTTTAGTATGAACGATGATGAATTAACTAATATATTTAATGCTTCACCTACGACCACACCGCTGCCAATCCGTCCAACCACCAGTACGTTATCCACAAACAAGCAGCCATCGACGTGGCTCTCAACAACTAGCCATCCAACTTGGACCAGCAAGCCGTCACAAGGCGTTAGCACCACGGGTTCTAGCTGGTGGAAACCGCCTATTTGGTGGCAGCCTACTGCAACAACTACTGCAAAACCTACAGTGCCGCCAACACCTACACACAGGCCCGGTTTGTATGCACCTGTAAAATCACCACTAATCAAGCCGCAATCTCACAAACTCGTCGGTTATGAGATATTTGACGAAATTGGTGATAACACTGAGGGTTTCGACAAATTGACATTGGCGCTGATACGCGATATACAAACAGAGGCAGAACATGATGAATTTACGAACGATGTGGAGTCTTTAGACAACTTTTTGCGCCTTTACGATGACAATTACGGACGAGCCGCATTCGATAACGACAATACTGTGGATCGTTGGTCAACTACATCGACTGCGGGTAAAAAACGTGTACCGCCAACCAAACCATATGTAGAATTTTTACTGGTCTATGATCTGTTAAAACGCGATGCAAAAGCAGCTAATCTCAGCAAATACGAGGGTTATTCGGAAGAACTGTTGAGGGATTTACACGATTTGTCCAATGCTTCGGCGGAGCGTCAACTCTATACGCTTTTCAAGCGTATGATCGATCGTGGTGATGTGCAACGTAGTGACGTCGTCTCTCGCTTACAAGGAATAATGAAGGATTTAGCTAACCCCCAAAGTGCCACTGCAAAGGAGTTGCGCTATATTCCAGCCATGCCATTCGTGCCTTGATTATCAAGTGCGTAACATTAATTTATAATTCAATAAAATCAATAAATATGACAATAATAGTATGGACGTAATACATATCATATATTTGCTTGGACATATTTGAATATTGAATAAATTTTTTTAATGTAGAAACGCTATTACTCCATATAAAAGTACATAGATATCTCCTATAAAAATCCACATCCCGTCTGGTGCGGCATTGGCATTCAAAGAGAAATTCGCTACAGGAAGTAAGGTCAGCCCAAAATATCATTTTTAAGCATTCAAAATTTTCAGTGCTGGTTTTCTGGTCCAAATTCATTCATGATTGCTTGTTTCTAAATACTTGTACACTTAAAAATAATAATTATTGTACTTACATTGAGATAACATTTGATAACAAACAACATAAGAAGAAATTTGACTTTCGCCAGCAATAATAATGCATTTTGTTGAGGCACAGCTCTTATTTGGCGTAGTTTTCTTTGTGGGCTGAGATAAGTTTACACTCAAAATCAAATTTGTCCCAGACTAATCCATTTAAATTGCGAGTGTAAATCGAATCGATAAACAAATTTTAGTTGGATTGATACAACCTTTTTTATAATCGTGTTGAATTTGATCTCCTTATGTCAATTAGTGTGCGGATTTTTAGCTTCGAAAACAGAAAATAGAGACAGGGAGCCAAATATGGCGAAAACGGTGGCTGTTTGATAACACTCGTTTCGTGTTTGGCCAAAAAGTCAGTAATAATCATGTGACGAGGCATTCAAGTCGTTTGATACGAGTCTAGCATTGACACGCTTCATACCCAAAACAATAACCAAAATAGTTCAGTCGATCTATAAGAGATGTTGGGATCCTCTGTTATCTCTCTGCCCAATTTTCAAGCTCTGTTTCTTTAACTTTTTCAATGTTATCATCATTAACAGAGGTGGATGGACGACTCGCATGAGGCAAGTTTTCGACAACTTCACGACATTCACTGAATGCTTTGTGCCACTCAAATACTTGTGTTCCTGATAAAGTAGACTTTCCAAAACACTTTTGCAATAGTTTCATCGATATTGTAGCTGTGAATAAAAAAAATTGTACCAATCCATTCAAAAATTCTTTATCGATTTGCGCGCACAGTTTAAATGGGCCAGTCCTAGCCAAGTTTAGTCTGTAGATATTTTCAATAAGAACACCTTACTGGCTTATAGCTATCCTAGGGACCTATTATTATCCTTCAAATTTGTCATTCTTCTCCTCCTCTTTGTGGTGAACCATTTGTTGTTTATTGAAATTTAACATTTTTTTTCACTTTCCCAATATTCTGTAGAAGTCAATCCAGTGGTTCAAGTGTTTTTTGTAAATAAATATTTCAGTACAATCCCGCTGTCAGCAGTTAAATGCAAAGAGGAGATGCAACTACAATTTCGCTCCTAAGTGTATTCATATATGGTACATACTTATGTATATGCACCCATATAATATTCTGAATCATTTTGCTCTAGAAAAGGTAACAAAAGATGAAAGCAAACAAAAACAATAACAAATTGTGCAGCACGAATGCAAAAGGACTGGAAAATGTAATAGTATAAAGGAAACAAGAAAAAATGTCATAAAAGGTTGACACGTGTTAAATAAAGATACTAGTACATATTTATCCGTATGTACAGTTCTATAAGACACCGTGCAAGTCAATACAGTAGTTTAAAACTAGTTCGGCTCGGATGCACTAAACACCTATATTAGCCTGCAGTAATTCTATTTTCCTTAAAAGTAATGGTATTTGCAATTCTTATGAAAGAAGCCTTCGTTTGATATACATTTTATTACAGCTTTTTACCCTAGAACCAATACACATTAATCTGACGTAGTTAGCACCCTCAGTTATAATTTATATTCTCGTTCGAATAGTTTCCTGCATATAACAATAGGTCTGTAGCTTAACTGCAAACTATTGCTAGCTAGCAAAGTATCTGCTGGATAAGCGTTTCTTAACCCAAACACCAGCAGAAATTAGCAGAAGAGCACAAGTTGAGAGCGTAAAAAGTTGAGAGAACTGCTAGTGAAATTCCTACTAGCAGAAAATAGCTACTGTCATATGAAGAAACAGCTGTTAAAGTAGATGTGTCTGCAAGAGATATTTTACACATTTTCTTTGATTTGGTTTGTTTTAATTGTTTTGATTGTGAAAATAAAAGTATTTTTGATTGATTTTCAAGTAAAAAAACAACATTTTGATATTTTCTTGCTAATTTCTGCTGATTTCCGTTTCGCTCTTTGTCAGTAACTGTCAATTTTCTTCTCCCTGCTAGCCAGAGGCTACTAGCAGTTAAAATACAGACCTAATATATTTTACAGCTGGGTAAATTTTGGTAAACGAAGTGAGAAATTTCCCAAACGCATGACACACAAAATTGCAGTTACACTTTGTTCGGATGTGTTTTGTTTCTTTGATATGTTTCCTTCGGATGCCGTTGAATTGCCGACATTCGCCGCTCTGTACCTTTTTAAGCTCCACCGAAGTATGCCAGCACTCATGAGAGCAAAACACATTTACCGCACTCATCGCGCTCACTATCAACACCATCGCCTGCGCCATTGCCAAACCATAATAAGTTGGGCTACCACCATACTGCACCAACTGCCGCCTCCTAAAGCTGTTATGAATGTAAATAGTTTTGTGGAACATAATCAGAAACATTACAGTCAGTGATGTTGACTTCTACGTTGGCGGTGATGTTTGTATGCATACATAGAGGTTGACTCTTTGTCGACACACTTATCGTCGAACATGTGAAGTGGTGAACTAAATGTACACACAACTCTACTTACATTTGTATGTATATATATGAGTATATTTAATGGCACCGCAGCTATTGTCCCGGAAAGGAATGGTGGCATCTCACCACTTGTATTTCCTTGCAATCTCTCGCATTTGTTGGCGAGCGAATGAACGCGGCGGCCAGCGAGGTAGCTCAACGAAACAGGCAACCAACGCGCGACAGTCATTTTTTCGATGCAAGAGGCAATGGACGGTCGAATCGGAATAATAAATCGCTTGTATATGGTTTGTGCCTATGTAGTTAGAACAAAGCTTAGTGAAAATATAGTGTGTGTGGAAAACGATTAAAAGCATTTAAGTTTGTGACACATAAATAAATTTGTACGCCGTGCGTGATTTAGCCTTGTTCTTACATGCAATCTATAAACGTATGCGTTTATATGTATATATGCGTACCTGTTTCTATTTTATGTGTACATAGATGTGTCAAAGTTTTATTTTAAATTTATGAAAAGCAGTGGTAGTGCCGCACGCAAAAAAAAAAACGCTTTACAGTGTATCTCAAAGATGCAATCTAAATAAACGAGACACCAAATATGTATTTCACTGAATATTTATCAATATTGTATGTTTCTTGTGCTCGAATTTGATTTTACATGTGAATCGCCACCGTTTCTAATTATTGATTTCTTCGTCAGCATTGGAAAAGAAATTTGCAAAATTTCAAAGACGAATAGCGAAGAGATTGCGACAAAAAGAATATCTACGCAAACACTGTTCCAGTCATTGTTATTGTTATGGTCCGAGTTGCAGTGCCAGCCGAATTCATATGTACTCGTATGTACATAGCATGCAAATTTGTATGAGCTTATGGTCGAAACCAAACGCAAGCAGTTGATGGACCGTGAATCAGTGTCGGCTTGTGTGCTATTGTGCAAGCAACAAATACATACATGTATATATACATAATATGTATATAATTTTTGCTCAAGTCTTCCGCAAAGTCTTCGAATATTGTTAAAGATATTAGTTTATATTTTCAAAATTTTGTTATTAGAACGGTACGGCATAAATCACTAAGTGGAAGTATGTTTTTATGTAAAGTGAAAAATATTAAATCGATTAAAAAAACACTTCTGTTAGTGTATAATTGAGTGAACAAGTGAAAAAATTCACATTGAAAATATTGGCCTTGCTAACATCTAAAAAATCGAATCGAACATCTGTAGCTCAGCGAAAATGGAGAATTTACAGAATTTCGCCCGCACACCACAATTTTTACGTAAAGTCATAAGCGAAGCAAGAAGGTACAGAACTTGTACTTTAGATTAAATTTTATTATTTACATACGTTTGCCTTAATTATTATTTGTACTTTAGCATGAGGAACTATCTATTACTTATCCTAGCATTCCCTTTGCCATACCCATGTAGTTTTCTTTACTATGTATAAAGAAAACTAACTATCTAACTTCCAGGAACAGCCGTAGTATAATTTAGGTAACCGCCAAACTAACAAAATACTGTCTTGTATCCATTGACAAAAAAAAATGTGTCTCTAAAGCTTTCCTTAGGTTTTGGTTGGTCAATAGTATTGAAGTTTACTTTTTAAGTGAAGTGACCGATTATATACTCTTTACCCATTTGAACAGATATTTTATCTTAATGCTCCGTCGTATATAAAAAGTACTTATTTTACGTCCAACATTCGTTTTATGGCGTCCGTACAAAAGGGTTGGCCTTAAAGATTTTGGACTCTGAAATTGTTGGTTGGGGTTGTTTTCACTATAATCTAATTCTTTATTATTTATTATTATATTTTGCAGTTTTATGTTTCGCTTCTTGAAAAAGCTGTGGTGGTAGTTGTTGGCAAAGTCAATTGGTGCTGCAACGTGCTCGTATCCGAGGGCGTTGTTCCTTTTTAAATGAGTTGCTGCCTAATACATAATGCATATGATTATATACGAATATATGTACACATACGTTTCGTACATACATAAGGGTACTTGTATCCTACTCATGTCAAAGGTCAACATTTTATGTGCTCAAAAGCATGTAACTGCGGGCACTAGCATGCAATAAACACCTACTTGTGCTAACGTGAGTAGGACATGTTCAACTTTTAAAAGGTTTTTAGCCCAAAATTCTTATCAGCATTTCTAAGTGAGTGGCATAATTTTATTTCTGAGCTGTAACATTTTTCGTAATTATGCAATCATATACAAATACGAGCACTATTATACGCATATTAACACATCATAAAACCCATAACAACTGGACCTAAGTTTCTAGTTTCGGATACGGTTTAATGTTATGGCTAAAAATTTAGCTTTCTTATAAATATAAGGGTTTGTCATTATGTAGAATAAATTTCAACCGAATGGCCCAAAGAGTCTTCACATAACACCACAAAAAAAGTCCAGCGTTGTTAAATCGTATGATCTTGGAGGCCACGTCACTGACCCACTACGACGCTAGATAATGCGTCCACCAAAATTTTTATTCAATTAATTGATTATTTCCTTGGTTGTATGGCATGTAGCGCCGGATTGTTGGAACCAAAGGTCGTCCACATCAACATGCTCCAATAAGACACGAAAAAGTAATTAATTATGGCTCTATAGTGTTCCCAGTTGACTGTAACATTATGGGCGGCTTCTTTTTTTAGAAATATGGACCAATGATTCCCTCTGCCGATAGAGCACACTAAACGGTGACTTTTTGAGGATGTTCCGTCGTCCCAACAATAGCTTGTGGACTATTATCATTCCAAATGCAACAATTTTCTTTATTAAGGCACCCATTCAACTAAACCGTCAAAAGCTTCGACGCTGAATAAAATTTTCTTGTGAAAATCGGGATCGGTGACCGTCCCGTTTTGGGGCCATTTACCGAACGTGTGACGCACTTGATAATCGTTTGGCTTCAATTCTTGCGCGAATTGGATTTTGTAAGTTCACAAACCAAGATCCTTCCGCAAAATCTTCCATAAAGTGGAGGGAAACACTAGAAAACAGCTAAATTTCTATAGGATGTGTGAAGTATAACTGCGGCAATGGTTCACAAGCAATGTTTGTCTATGCAGTGCTGTGCTACGTATGCATAACTGAGCCTTTAGTCTGCTCATTATGAATTGGCAAACCAAACTGAGTGTAATGCTTCGATTAGTCGACGACGCAAAACCATACAACGTGTCAGTTGATACGACCTATGTAAATGAGAATTCACCACCGCTTCTACGCTTTTAATTATATCATAAGGGTGCCTGCAGAGTGGACGTTCAAAGCCAAGTCGAGCACAAAGCTGACGAATGTGATAAATCAGCTATTAAACTGTGCACGTACATTTTCATACGAAATCGCACAGGCGCCTCAGAGTGGAAGCCGAGCTTAAAGCTGATCAATGCAAGAAAACCAGTTTTGAACCGTTTTTCGGCACCGAATCCCAAAAACATACATTTATTAATTACATTTCTTGTTTTAAATAAAATAATATTCGAACTAAATCCGTGCGAAATTCAGCGCTTAATTCCGTATCCAATCTGCGGTAAATAAAATCGATCAGCGCTGATTGAAATCAGCTTTGCGCTTTGATCTTGATTATATCAATTAAAACTTGAGGTGTGACCCTGTTCTTCCGAAACTGCACGGATTCTGTCGTTTTTAAATTAAAATATACAATAGTCATATTATAATGCAGAATCCAAATTCCCTTACATTTTAGGTATCGAATATACTTATTTGCATCCCTCCAGCTACTAGCCAGCATGTATCAGTCAAAAATATAATATAAATATAATATGGTTTAATTTAAGAAGATTGTGTCGCTTAGCATATTAACATCTGGTATAAAAATGCGTGAAATGTATCCATACTTTGTCCAATTCGAAAGGCAAAGCGTGCTACAGAGAGTATATGTATGTAGGTTAGAGCGAATTTTGAAATGGTTGCAATATTGATATATTTATACTCTTGCAACATGTTGCTACAGAGTATAATAGTTTTGTTCACTTAACGGTTGTTTGTATCACCTAATAATCGAGATAGATATAGGGTTATATATATATAAATGATCAGGATGATGAGACGAGTTGGAATCCGAGTGACTGTCCGTCTATGCAAGCGATAACTTCAGTAAATATTAAGATATCTTAATGAAACTTGGTACACAAAAAAGTGAGGACGAGTTCGTAGATGGACGCCATTAATCGAAAACCAATAAATTGCCATAACTAAACTCCAGAGTAAGATAGAAGACTGTTATTTGGTACAACGAATCGCATTAAGGAGGAGCATTTCAGTTTAAACAATTTTTAAAAAGTGGACGTAGCCCTACCCTATAATAGGTTTATTGTGCATATCTCCTAAACCACAAAAGCTACAATAACCCAATTCACTCAAAAGAAATCTTATTAGCACCCCTACCAAACCTAAAATTTCAAAACGAGGGAAGTCGGGTAATAACCCCGCCCACTCCCCATGTAAAGGTTTTGATTAAACCTACTAAAGTGCGATAACTCATTAAATAAACAAGTCAGAGAATTTAAATTTTACACATACATATATAAAATGGCGCGTATAAGCTTTATAGGAGGCAATACAAAAATTGGACTATAACCATGCATACTTTCCATATAACACAATTTTAAATTCCATCTGATTCCTTCACTTTGCGGTAAACAAATTAAGAAGCGCGAATAAAGCCTTTAAAGTGTGCCACCTAATGACGAAAAATTGTGCAAATCGAACCAAAACTGTTCAAGCCCCTAGGTACCGAATATGTGGAGCCTAGTACCTATAGTTGACTTTTTAATGAAAATATCAGTCAATGAGTGAGATATTTTGAATTAACTTTGAATTTCAGAGAGGATCCTTTCCTGATACTAGTATTTCTATATGTCAAATATGGGTTAAATCGGGTCAATACTTGCCCTAGCCCCCATATACCAAATATACAGATTTTCGAACTTTCGGGTGACTGTATACCGCATATATCGGCCAAAAAGTGAGTTAGCTCAATGGCAATAAGAAAGTGTATTTTACTCATAACAGTGGATCTTTGTGCCTAAAATGGATCAAATCGGGTAAAAACTTGGCCTGGCTGGCTTTACTCCATATGATTGGTGATGGTATGTGAGCTACGGGAATGAAACCCTGGGAGCATTTTATTAGTCTCTGGCATGTTAGTAGTATGTGGTATTAGCAAAAATTGATAAAATCGGTCCAATGCTTCCCCTAACTCCCATATACTACCTATAATGATTTTCGGTTTTCTAACATGTTTTATGCCAAATATGTTGTTTAATGCGCCCAGTCTCCTCTGGTTGACTTTTTCCAATTTCCAATTTTTTCCCAACATTTTTTAATAGGTATAAATTTTGCCAGCAGCTGAAGGAAATTCCCGGGCTTTGATTCTTGCAAGTTGCAACAGTATGAAATGTTCGGTTACACCCGAACTTAGCCCTTCCTTGCATGTTTTATTTAAAATGTTTGGTTTCAACAGAATGGAATTGTGTTTGTTAATGCTACATAGGTATATGTATATATTTTTTTATATATTATACGAGATTGTTTCGCTTTGTTCTTATTTTATTCGCACTTTCGATGATTCAGATAAGTTTTCATTCGAAATATGGTCAGACTGACTAAATGGAGGTACATATAGGAAATGGTGTATGTGTGTACACACGTATGAGCACATTTAATTGGCATCGCAATTTAAATTAAGTAGAATTGTATTGGATGACATACGAATTGTATTTGGAGTGAACAATGCTTTTCGAGGCATTGATAACCCAACCTTGGCAATGTTAAAACCGCAACAACATCATTTTTTTTAGTACTGATCAATCGAGGCAGCTTATTAATAAAAAATATTTGTAGAGCAAATGCCTAGATATGTGCCAAGGGCTATTGTAGAGATATAATTTAATGGTAATCTTAGACACCGGCTAAGCACTGTAACTGAAACAAGCAGAATATTCTAGAGTGCTGAAATTTTTTTTTTCTCACATCTTTAATTAATGTTATTTATTGTAATTAATTCGTGTTTCTGTCATTTTATTTACTTGCAGATCTTTTATCCGCAACGACGATACGTGCAACAACGACGAGGCGGATAGTGAGAACAGCACCGAAGCATACATCGATGAAATGGAACTCTCACATAGTCTCACACTCAATGAAGAAGCGCTAAAACAATTGCCCGAACAGAAACGCCCTGTTTTCATTTTCGAATGGCTGCGCTACTTGGAGAAAGTGCTGCCGGTTGCACAGAAATCGGATATAAAATCATGTCAAAAGAAGTTAGTTCAGCAATTGACAGAACACATTCAGGGCTCACCAGGTCCGCCGACACGCAAATTGATAGCCAGCTGCTTGGCGACACTCTTCTCTGTGGGCGATACTTTCATGCTGTTCGATACGGTGAATGCCTGTAATGACATTTTAAAGAATAAGGATGATTCACCGAGCTATCTACCCACTAAACTGTGAGTTCTTATAAAACGAGATTCTTTAAATAAAGTTTGAAGTTATTGTGTAGTTTTAGTAAGGTCACAGTACTTATAGTAATTTTATCGTAAGAAAATCGAGTATGTTCTCTGACCACCAGAACGGCTTATGTATCCTCCCATATTCAGCATATTTAATACACTGCTATAAGAACAAAATGTTATCGACTATCATATCAGCCCCAACTTCTAACGGATGCCAAACTGCAGTGATTGAATTTTTCATTAAACTGCACCTTTGTGGTATTCGGCGTCTGTTGCTTTACGTTATAGATCTTTGCATCACTTCTTCGCCATTATACAGTCGTTTCTTGTTTTAACCACGTTGTTCAGATCTACAGTATTTGTCCATAAATTAAAAGCCTCTATGCATGTTTCAAAAAGTTTTACCGGTATGAAATTAGCGTTTTTTGTGAAAATTAAATACCAATTTTGAATGGGAAAGTAAAAAATTTTATACAAAATATTGAACATTGCTTTTTACACATTTTGAACATCTTTCTGGCAATTCGTGGATAACATGCTAATGTTCGTCTTTTGTAGCAAACCAATCAGACACCCAATTTTCGACTTCTGCGTAGGAGTCAAAGTGCTGCTCAGCCAATGCGTGCCCTATTGATCTAATCGGAAGTCTAGTGAATACGGCGGGGGGATAGCAGCTCCCAACCAAGTACTTTTATTATATCCTAAACCGATTTTTCTTTGTGTGCAGGTGTATTGTCGTGCAACAAAATTACTTTGCCCATTCTGGTCGTTTTTCGATCAATGCATGGTTCAAATTGATCATTTGTTGTCTGTAGCGATTAGTATTAACAGTTTCACCAGGTTTTAGAAGCTCATGATATAAAGCACACCCTTCTAATCCCACCATACACAGATCATTGCCTTCTTACTGTTTTTGCAGTCGATGTTGATGGTTTTTTGTTGTTGTTGTTGTAGCGGCAGAATTCTGCCGACTTGACAGTCCTTGGCCGGATAAAAATCCGGGTCCGTTCCGGTTACGTAGACCCGACTGTCGTGGATACGGCAACAACAACAACATGGTTGTCCCGGAGGATTAACCCCTGATTTTCTCCATTTAGGATTCTTAAAATAAATCCATTTTTTATCGCCAGTGACAATTCGATGCAAAACTGATTTTCTTTCGTGTCTTTGAAGCAAAATTTCAAAAGAGTTTTTTCGGTTTTCCATTTGTCTTTCATTCAATTTATGTGGCAGCCATTTTCTACACTTTTGAATCTTTCCCATAGCTTCCAAACGGTCTGAAATTGTTTGTTGTGCAACATTTAACATGGCTGCCATTTGTTTTTGACTTAATTTATCATCTTCATCCAAATTGCTTGTAGTTCGACATCTTCAAACTTTTTGGTGATCTTACACGTTCTTCATTTCTCACATCAAAATCATTATCTCTGAACCGTTGAAACCATCTTTTGCATGTTGCTTCTGATAGAGCATGATCACCATTTCGTAACAAAGTTTGATATTTTCAACACAATGAAAAAATATGATGTTGTTTGTTTAATAACTGTAAGGCTATCTTAATGCTCACTTCATACCGTTACAACTGGTATTACTTGAATTTAATGTTTAGAATATTTGTTATAATACGCTGTAAATCTTTATATCTCAACTATGTATACATATGTATATGAACAAATCTTAGGTAGAATTAGACCAACCTGCCTCATAAAGAATATACCATATATTCCTATTCATAAATAAATTTGTGTGGTTGATAGTTGACTTCTGCTCAATTGACCATTCAAGTTTTCAAGTTATCGTTTCCATTTGTTTAGAAAAATATATCATTCTCTTCCCTTAGTGCCGCTATTTGCGTATTGGGTTCTATGTATGAGAAGCTCGGTCGTATGATGGGGCGCTCTTACGAGGAGACGGTTCAAATATTAATACGCACTCTACGCAATGCCGAATCGCAGGCGCGTGCCGAAATTATGATTACATTGGAAAAGGTATGCAACACTTTTCACCACCACAGATATTGAGAAATGACATTATCACACCTAATTTACTAATAATTTCTTGTCCTTTCGTACCAAATCTAATAATATAGGTTTGTGCTGGTATGGGTACGGCTATTTCGAACGTACACAAAGATATTTACAAAGCAACGAAACATTGCCTAACAGATCGCGTGATGGCCGTTCGTGTCGCGGCCGCCAAATGTGTGCTAGAGATGATCAATCACGCACCATTCCTCTACCAAACCGAACTCGAGAGTTTGGCTACGCTCTGTTTTCGGGCTTTTGATGGCAGCAATTATGAGGTACGTTGCGCGGTCGCTAAATTACTGGGCACGCTGTTAGCTTTTACACAACAACCTCCAGAGGGTGCAAACAAAAAACCAGGTCAACCGATATCAACAAAGAATCAGGCGCGTAATGTTTCGCTCGATGAAGCTATGGGTATATTAATGTCGGGTTTTCTGCGTGGAGGTGTCTCCTTTCTAAAGGGTACAGGTGAAATTATTAAAGGAAGTTCGAGCGTTAATCGAGAAGTGCGTGTTGGCGTCACACATTCCTATGTTGTTTTTGTGCAATTCATGGGCAGCGTCTGGTTAGAACGAAACCTAAGTACATTTCTAATGCATGCACTGGACTTAGTGGCAAATCCCAAGGCCGCCTCCTCACACGTTGATGCTGTGTATTCGCGTAAATGTATTAACTTCATACTTCGTTCGATTATCGGTAAAATGCTAGGCGAAAAAGCGCAAACATCAGCCTGCAAGGAACTCATACACATTATAGCCAAACAAATGAACTCAATCGATTTCAATCCCGAAAACGCAAAGGATTCCAATCAAGAGACGCTTTTTAGCCAACACTTACTGGTGTGTGCGCTACAAGAGTTGGGATCGCTTGTGCTCGGCTTGGGCACTACAGCACAAAGTCTCTTGCATGATCATTCATTAAATTCTATTGATGCAACTTGCGCGGTGCTTGTTCATCCATGTGCCGCGGCTCGTCTGGCTGCAGCTTGGTGCTTACGCTGTTTCTGCGTGGCAGTTCCGAGCCAAATAACGCCGCTCATCGATCGTTTTGTCGACGCCCTCGAACAGATGCGCTCCTCACCCGAGGCAATCGCCGGTTATAGTGCAGCTTTAGCCGCAACTTTAGGCAGCGTACGCTACTCACCTCTTGGCATTCCACACACCAAAGGCAAAGTGGTGTTTAATACAGCTGAAGAGCTGTTACGCTCGGCATCGCAAAATAGTCGCATGTCACTGAATCGTACGCAAGCGGGTTGGCTGTTGATTGGCGCCATAATGACGCTTGGTTCGCCGGTAGTTAAGGGTTTGCTTCCCCGTATGTTACTGCTGTGGCGCAACTCATTCCCACGTTCTAACAAGGAGCTCGAATCGGAGAAGGCGCGTGGTGATGCTTTTACCTGGCAGGTTACTTTGGAAGGACGCGCTGGTGCGCTCTCTGTTATGCACAGCTTCTTGCTGAACTGTCCAGATCTAGTTACAGAGGATATAACGAGGCGTCTATTAACGCCCATAGAAAGTGCGCTCGCAATGTTAGTTAAGTGAGTAAATATTAACAAGCATACAATAACATCGATATTAAATTTAAATTATAAAAAAAATTTTCTTTTAAAACTATGCACACGCAGTCTTTCGTCTGTTTTGAAAAGTTATGGCACACAATTAAAAGCGTCCGCGGCTATGGTGCGGCTGCGCTTATATGAGACGCTCTCTCTTCTACCATCAAACGCTTTGGAGTCGTCATACACGCATCTGTTGCGCATGCTTGTGGCTGAGTTCACACTCTCTGAAAATCCAGCTAATACAACGAACTCCTTACTAAGGGCTCTCTGTCATGGTGATGACTCTATAATTTTGGGCACCTGGCTACAAGAAACGGACCATCGAACTATTGAGGATCAGGTGATTAATTTAATATTGTTTGAAAAAAATATATGTATTTTATAAAATGGTTGTGCTCGAAAGTTATTTTCTCTCATAATTCCTCGTTAATAGTTGTGGTTATATATTTTTTTCGCGAATGGGTATTTACAGAAAATATTCTAAAAATTTATATTGAAAACATACAGATACTTTTAATTTTTATTGATTTTGCGATTTTTATCTCTGCAATGTTTAATATTTTCTATGTGCAAGAGCCGAGTAAACAAAATTACAAACGAGTTTTAGGCCGAAATAATATAATTAATAAAAAATATTTCGTAAAAAGTTAAAAGTGAGATAAACGTAAGCATACGTATGTAAACAATAGCAGGTCTTGTAGCAAATATTGAGTAGTACATATACAAAAACCGAGAATGAAAATTTTCTCCAGTGTGCACAGATTAGAAAATAACCTGTACACACTTATATGTATAAGTATAAACATATGTACGGGTATTTGTTTGTAATATCGTAAAGTCATCTCCTACCTATTCATACGCATACATATTTATGTATGTACATATGCATTCCTCATATGAATGCAGTATATTTTACTAAAATAGAAAGAAAACTAAAACCAACAAGAATACTCTATCTACAAATAAGTCAAACACTTTGAAATAAAGTGTTAAATAACCACAAATGTCTAACAACCGACTTCCACCTCCTTTACACTGCTACCACCAACGCATAAACAACCGACCAACCAATTTAACAATCCTATCGTCGTCACCAATGCCAATATCAATTCTAATGCAACTGCTACCAACAACTGCCTCTGTACGCCAACATTTATGTGTTAATCTTGCAAAATAGATGGAACCTAATCGTAAATCTGATGGCGAGCATGTAAGTGTCGTTATTGTTGTTGTTGTTAAACGTTTATGTTGCCATAGCTGCTATAAAAGTTAAGTTCCTTTGCGTAGTATGCACTTTTAAATTTTGTGTGTACATAGTACACATACATATGTACATATTTTTTTTTTTTTACTGTTTTGGGACCTGCTTAATTTTGATTTATTTTAACATATACATACATATGTATATATTCATATTTTAGGTATCATTTTGGAACCTAAACTGTGCACTATCTAATTATGAACTTAGTAATACTCTTATGTTTTTGTGGTACATCTTTTATTTTTTGATATAAATTCCATTTCAGTTTGTCCATATGAATAAATGTATATACATATGTATATGCTTTACAAAGCCCGTTTTATTTGTCAGCAAGAAACAACTTTTTTATTTGTTTGTTATGTTCTTTCTTTTGTCTAGTCAAGTGTTTTTTACTGGAGCGCCTTGTTTTGGCCTGTTGCCAGAGAGGCTTCTGCTTGCTTTGAAACTATTATATATATATATATATACATATATTTTTTTTTTATCGATTGCGTTTCAAACAACAAAAAAATGTCTTGACCTCAACGTTTGATAGTTTTTGTTGACACATAAGTACTGTATCTAAATATAATCAACCCGTTTAAAAAAAAAATTTTGATTTCTTTTGAAAAAAACTATTGTGTAAAAATCTCGTTTACTTTATATCGTATTCAAGTTATGACTAATTTTGCTCCTACAGCTACAACCTAACAGCGCTGCCGGTTCGGGTGCTCTAGAACATGATCCCTGCTGCTTATATCGTCCACCGATTAGTGGTTTGGTAGGCACAGCTGCAATTGCCGCCGTTGCCAATACACAAGGAAGCAAAGTCGATCAATGTCCCGGACCTCTGCCATTGGGTGTCGCTGTTATTGACATGTCCGTAACGCTATTTGGTTTAATTTTTCCGAAGGTGGCTAATAAGCATCGTTTGCAAATGCTTGATCATTTTGCTGAATGTATACGCCAAGCGAAGAGTAGTCGTCAAGAGGCAGTGCAGATGAATATTTTCACTGCATTGTTAAGTGGTTTGAAGGGTCTCACAGACAGCAAAAGCGGCATTGGTCAGGAAGATGTAAAGAAGAGTTCTACCAACCTGGTTATTGCTGCTTTGGTTAGCAGTAATTCAACCTTGCGTTGTGCCGCTAGCGAGGCTATCGGTCGTATGGCGCAAGTAGTAGGTGACTCCCGCTTTACCGCCGAATTGGCACAAAACTCATTTGATAAATTGAAGTCGGCGCGTGATGTTGTTACCCGAACCGGTCACTCGCTCGCTTTGGGTTGCTTACATCGCTACGTTGGCGGTATGGGCTCGTCACATCATCTGAACACAAGTGTTTCCATATTGTTAGCATTAGCACAGGATACTTCTTCGCCGGTGGTGCAAGTTTGGTCGCTTTATGCACTGGCACTTATAGCCGACTCTGGTGGACCAATGTTCCGTGGTTATGTGGAGGCGACACTATCCTTGTGCTTAAAGTTATTGCTCACTGTGCCGCAGTCCAATATGGATGTACATCAATGTGTGGGACGTGTTTTGAATGCTCTCATTACAACGGTTGGACCAGAGTTGCAGGTGAATGTCGAAATAAATCACGAATTTTTCTTAAGATCACCGTTTTTATTAATTTTTATTTTTTAATAGAGCAATAACAGCACCGTAGGGGCAATGCGTTCTTCCTTCCTTTGCGCCGCTGCCATTATGCAGGCACACACGGACCCATTGGTACAGGCCGAGGCAACCGGTTGCTTACAGCAGTTACACCTCTTCGGACCAAAATATGTTAATTTGAGCTCATTAGTACCGACATTGGTGAAGACGCTGACGAGCAACTATTTAATGTTGCGCAAGGCCGCTGTATCTTGTTTGCGACAACTTTCGCAACGCGAGGCCAAGGAGGTGTGCGAACTTGCTCTACACATGACACCGGAGCAATGCCCCGATATTACTATCACTGAATATGGGCTTCCGGGTGTACTTTTTGCAATGCTGGACACCGAAACCGATGCCGAGATGTTGAAAAATATACATGACACTTTAACGTCCATGCTGCAAATGTTGGCTTCCGATAATTTAAGTTCATGGTTGAGTTTGTGTAAGAACGTGTTAACCGTAGCCGTTGAAGGAACTTCGTTGCAGGACGAATCGAGCGGTGTAAAGAGTGAGGCAATAAATAGCAAATCTAGCAATAATGACAATGCTAATAAAAGTGAACGTGATGACGATGACGAGGAAGAAGATTATGATGATGTGACTGAGTATCACGCAGAGGAAAATACCTCCACTCATCCTGCCGTACAACCGCGTTGGCCCACACGCGTTTTCGCGGCGCAATGCGTACGAAAAATTATAGCCACCTGTGAGGCAGCCAATCCCATACACCTGGACCTAATTCAAGCCAAGGAGATGCAAATGATAAAATCACGTGGCGATTATTTGATACTACATTTGTCCGAGTTGATACGTATGTCCTTCATGGCGGCCACCTCAGACTCAGATCAATTGCGTTTGGAAGGTTTACGTACTTTACAGGAGATAATAGATCGTTTTGCGAATGTACCAGAGCCAGAATTTCCTGGCCATTTGCTTCTAGAACAATTCCAGGCACAAGTGCGTACTTACTAATATTAAATTTCGTTTATTTCTACCACATACCTTAAAACAATAATTTACGTTATTTCAGGTGGGTGCTGCTCTCCGTCCTGCATTTTCACCAGACACTCCGTCACATGTTACTGCAGCCGCTTGTGAGGTTTGTTCTGCTTGGATTGGTTCCGGTGTTGCACGGGATCTGAACGACTTGCGGCGTGTACACCACTTACTCGTCTCCTCACTAGACAAATTACATACGAAGACAAACAGTACTCAGTTATACAATGAATCAATGGCAACATTGGAGAAATTAAGTATTTTAAAGGCATGGGCTGAGGTATACATCGTTGCTATGATCGGCAATGGTTCTGCGCCAGCTTCTTTGCTGCAAAAGAAACTCACCTCAACCAATACGATAACACCACTTACAAGTGGTATAGATTTGGATGGCACTGAGGCGGCAGGTGGGGATTTCGGTGATTTCGAAAGTCGTGGCGAAAGCCTGCTAAATTTAGTTAAACCTGAGTTGGGCAACTTATCCACACATTGGCTAGCGGCAATGAAAGATCATGCCCTCTTATTGCTACCGGCAGAATTCCAAAGTCAATTGCCTCACGATGGCGGCGCATTCTACACTACTGATACGATCAACTCGTCCAAGCCGCATTATTTGTCATCCTGGCCACCTATATTATATGCGGCTTCATTATGGCTGAAGGACGAAGGTTTTGCTGCGTATGTAAATACAAATGCAACGGGCGTTGATGGCGCCGCCTATGAGACCAATAACAACATCTCACACGGTTCACTCTCTGCCGATCGTTTTCATATGATTTTCGGTATTTGCATGGAAGCTTTATGCAGCACGCGTACCTCGGAAAAGCCGAAGAATGTCATCAGTTGTTTGCAATCACTTTACACAATTTTCGATTCTGATTGGGCAAGGAAACAATTGATTAAGAACAAAACATTGACGATTGAACTATGCAATGTTTTGCATCGACAAATATTAACGCGCGATGAACTGTTGGTTCAGCTACTTTGCATGGAAATACTAAAACAATCGATACATGCGGCCAGGGATGATCTACAGTCGAAACGTGATCAGAATCTTAATCAAAATAAAAACAATGAAAACACGGATAATGCGCAACTGCAGACAGAAATTGAAAACTTGGGCGAAGGTGGAGAATCGGGAGAAATAACGCCTGGCACTTCGCACGTCTATGCTGTGCTGGAAGTTTGCTTATGTGTGTTTGTACGTCAAATACCCTCAATGAATCCGAGTGTCGCCAGCAAACTTAGCACAATTCAATTTAAACAAGAATTAGCTGCCAAAAGTAATACATCACAATCATTCTTCTCAGTATTGGCAGAAGATAATGGTATGCTTGTGGCTGGTGGCCTGCAGTGTGTCGAGGATTTAACCGCGCTATGCTCTCCCAAAGGCGCACTAACAATTTTGCCAACCATCGTCTTTATGACCACATCGATAATGCGAGAAATTGCCAATAAATCGGCCATCGATACAACGATACTAGCGAACACGGGATCTGTGCAAGCGGCCTTGCACACTCTCAAATCGGTATGCACCGACCGTTGGGCAAATCATGAATTGGTTTCAGCCGAATGGATGGCAATATTACAAAGCGCATTAGCTACAGTTATAGATATGACGAAAACTGCTGGTGATGAGGAAGAACGTAAGGTTGATGAGGTCACCATGTTACTGGCCATTGCCGTCTTTATATTGCACACACCTGCTTCAGTGGTGTCCACGCCATCACTGCAATATCCCTGTATTAATCACTTCCGACAGTGCATGCAGTCTGAGCATTTGTCTGTCAAGCTAAAGTGCATACAAACAACACGTTCAATTTTCGCTAAAGCCGATCTTAAAATATCTACACCCTACATACACGCACTGGCGCCACGTATAATTGAGGGCTTGTATGCGGAAGCGGCGAAGACGCCTCGCACCGACATGGACCTGCAGATAACGCTCGAAAGTATATTGACCGTGGAGACGTTGATTGAATTGGCGGAACCGCAGAATCGTAAGTGACTTGGCATGCATTTTATGATATCTTTTCTTTGGTTTGTATTTGTAATTGTTTTAGTTTGTCTCAATTAGTTAAAATTCAAATGAGATGAGATTTCTCATAATTGAGCAAATAGTTTGTTATTTTAGTTTTTCGTTAGTTCAAAGACACCGAGTTTGTTGTTTTTTATTCTTCTCTTTTTGACCCTTCCATTATCCAAAAAAAAATTTTAATAATTTTCCGAAACATTCGTTATTTGTCACTATCACCTTCAATATGTCTTATGAAAATATCATTCTATTAAACCAAAAATATCTTTCTTTTTCTATTTATCCCTTTGAAAACGCAAACCAAAATTTCACAACCATATCCCATTGAAATTGAAAACAATATATAAACAAACATCCCGTTATTTCGTTGTAACTTTTGTTTGAAATTCTATAGGAAACTTGATGCAAGGTAATTACCATACATTAATCAAAAGCTCAATAAAACAATGCACCTACACAGCATAAATCGCTTTGTATGTTTACTTATAAGGCTTAAGGTCCACATACTTGTACAATAACAATAAAAAACATGTATACGTGTTTTCACCATTTTACACTATCAACATTTAGTTGCCAACCGCACCATCAAAACTAAATTGGATACGCGCTTAAAACACCCATTTACTCTTCTATCTCTATCTCGATTTCCTGCAGCACTGACACTCCACTTAGTATACTCGTATTTTTAATGTTTATTATTATTAGTTTTTTTTTTGTTTTCCGCATACACCTTTTTTATAGTTGCATGTAAGTGGTTTATAAAAGCAACATTTTTTTCCGTTTCACAAGTAAATGTCATTAGAATGTATGGTATTTATTTTCGGTAATAAGTTCGATCACCATTTGAATTTTTCTCGCTAGCATAACTCCCTAGTAGAATGTAAATTGTTGTTTTCCGTTTTACTATCAAAATGCGGGTGGCAGATTGGTCAACTGAGGCATAAACTTAAAAATCAATAATTTTTTTTTTTAATTGGTCCGATTGGTCCTCTGTAGACGTTAGTAAATCTTCTAGTTTTTTTTCTCTTTTTATAAATAATTAGTCGTTCGGAGGTCTTTCAGAATTTGAATCCTCCATGTGTCAAACATCTGCTAAGCCAAGGTGTACAAAACTGTAACAGTTTACAAGTTCAGCAAAAAAATAAGATTAAATCTAAAACTTATATGCCAAGTAACCCCATCATGCATATATTGTACCACACATGTTACATATACATATACAGAGAGACTTTGGATTAATGTATTAGAACCTCGAATAGCACATATTGAAAATCTTCGAAAATAATCAATTTCGAACTTTGAGTAATACTTATGCCTATAAGTTATAGCTTTAAAAAAATATGTTTATTTTAAAACTCTCGATTCAATAAAAAAATAATAATATTTACATATGTACATACATGTGTAATTATTAATAAACGGTATTGTTATCGTAAATGTGCGTTTGCATATATCAATCAGTTTGCCAACCAAATTATTTTGTAAAATAATATATATACATGTTCAAGTAGAAGAAGCGCCCGCATGATCTTCAAGCTTGTTGAACATTTATCAACAAAACGAATTTCTTTTTGTTTCATTAAATTAAATAAAAAGAAAAGCACAAGTTCAAATAATTCTCTTGACCACAGCAGTCTTTTCTGCGCATGTGTTTACATCATTCAATTTAAACACAACTCAATTATGCTGCATAAAATGCTACAATACAGTCCAATACAAATTATTTTAACTGCTTTTAATTTATGTATTAATGCATCTTACAGGCATACAAATGTTAACACTACTGGTTCCTGTACTCATTAACTACTTGGCGGAACCGGCAAAACTGCGAACATTGCCAAAATATCAACGGCAATTGCACGAGCAAGCATTGCAGTGGCTGATGAAGATCGGTCCCAAATACCCTCAGGAGTTCAAAACGTTAATGGGTCAAACATTGGAGCTGCGCCAGAAACTCGAAGCAGCTATTCGCAGTCAGCAGCAGTCAATTAACATTGCCAACAAGGCAAATGAATTGCAGATGCGCGGCGGTCTTGCCAAGCAGCAGAAGCCAACCATTAAATTGAAAACGGATTTCAGCAATTTTCAGTAAAAAAAACAAACAAACCGTTACAGCGTCGAAGTGTATATCGTCACCTAAAATGCAAACGTAACGTAACATCACTTTTCACAAGTTTATAGGAGAAGCCGAAACGAACTAGCGAAACGCATACAATTGAAGATACGCTATTTTAAATTTTGATTATACTTTGCTTATATCTGATAGCATGAGCTTAAAACTTTATATTTAACTTTATTTATATGTAATGTAATATTATATGATGTAGTTAATCATAATCACCAAAAAACTAAATTTCGAATTTTTCGATAATACGTTATTTTGCATTTTAGGTACGTGCATACTTTTTCATATAAACATACATACATATTGGAAAACATAATTTATGGTTATATTTACAAATTCATGGATATGAGATCGGCTACGGATTGTAGAAATATGATCGTATAGGCATTTGCATTAGCACAATAAATTAGCACATAATAAATTTTAAAAACCCATTAAATACATATGTATTTCTTCGTTAAAACTCCCGCAAAAATTCTTGTATTAATTTGTCCTAATAATTTATTAAATATTTGTCGGTTAAAATATTTTAATTTTACAAATGTATATTCGATTAAATGTTAGAGTTTTAAAATACAAACTAACACGTGAATGTAATTTCTACTAAACAATTCGTCACAAGTTTGTTCTTGGGAATATACACTTATATATACATACATAGTATACAATATCAAATAAGTAGCAACCTACTATATTAATTTATGTTTTTTTGTCTACTTTGTGAAACGTCATAATATGAATAATATGCTTAAAAACGAGAAGTGTAAAATTATTGTAAAAAAGTGAAAAATGAAAAGTAAAGAACTTAACCCAAATCGTTAAGAATTATAAAGTCAAAATGAAATGTATGTGAATATTTAACAATTATTAACATATAAAAAGTTAAATAAATTGTAATTACACAAGTATATATTACAAATTGTGTCATTACTTTTATGTTGGAATTTTAGTATTATTTAGTAATTTGAAAAACGGCAAATGTTCAGGAGCCAAAAACAGTTCTTTTAAAAATTATGTCAATTTAACAGTCAAATCGTCATTCATAACTTAAATACCCCCATCGGTATTCAACCAGAGAACTTAAAACAACCATTTACATTCTCTGGTTTAACTACAACTGCTTGTTAGCAGTTGAATTAATTTGATACTCTAGTCAACCCTACTGGCACAAAGTTGAAAACCGTAATACCAAAAGAAAAGTTGAAGCTTGACAACACTTCAAATTTCAAATCTTCAACACAAAATTCGTTCTAATGGTGATTTTCCAGTTAAGTAACATAGTGATGACAATGAAATTTCTTGGTTAGGTAGATAGGTGTATTACAAATTGTTATATGGGAAAAAAATCGATTTGAATTGTGGCTCTTTTTGTATTTAGTGTGCGATATGTATGTATACACATAGATTTGTGATCAATTCAGATTTATTAATGATTGAGTCCTCCAATATTTTCGAGAATTGTTTATGTCCATAATTTTAAGCTCACCCAAAAAGTTAAAAATACACATCTGTTGCTAAAATAGTTATGAGCAATAAAATATTACCATTCGCGTTATAGTCTCATTGATTGATGGGGAAGTTTGTAGAATGAGATTTTCCACGTTCGTTAGCAATTCAAATATCCTAATTTTTATTTAACTGCAAAAAATCTGTCCGCAACTATCCAAACACATTTTTTCAATTATATATTTTTTTCAACTTGTATATTTGTTATATGTATGTAAAACACAATGTTTTGAACCGTATACCTATAAGAGGTAGACATAAACACCTCAAACCATTAATATGACATCTTATAGTGTATGACCCAAAATATAATTCAATTCAATTATTTTGTTCATAACCAGAGAATGTGTCTTCTTCATAGTGATTGCTACAGCTCCAGCTCAGTCTTTATATTAGCCTCATCGAAATCTGACTTAGCACGGTTTGCCTCAATGAGAATTCGTTTCTCTGCCGGCTCTGATGATAGACTTTCGGGCAATTTGCCATTTTGCGTCGCCATACATGAATCTTTCGTTGAATCTTGCTGCATCGAGTTTAAACCTTGATCAGATGCCGCTGCAGCACATTTTGAATGTTCATGTTTAATATCATAGGCAGCTGGTTGTTCATTTGTTGCTTTAGAAACAAGCGTGGCAGCACTCTCTGTAAATTCAACGTCTAACAGCAGACTTTTCTCAACCACCGCCATTACTGCTGCAAATATTTAACTAGACATTTAAAAGGCCTGTGAAAATATTGGATCCATTTTTACCTGTTCTGGTTTCAGATGTTGTTGTTTGTAACTTTCTTTTTCGACCAACCGGTTTCGACGTTCGTCGTGGTTTTTTCCCAACTTTCGAAACCTTATCCAGCGACGTACGTTTATACAGTGCCACCGACAAGGATTCCGGATTACCCAAATATTCAGATGAACACTCGTTTTTCACACGAGTTAAATCAAACGCCGATTGACATGCTGAAGTTTCATTTGCACTTGTGACGGTATCTGCTTTGCAATCTTTAGGCGTTATTTCTGCTAATGTTACAGGCGGTGCGCTGATTTGCGTTAGTTCCGTAAATCGAGTTGGTTTTAAACGACTTAATAGGGCTGTTTGATAGAGTAATGCACGCATGCGTTTACGAAATTTCTGTACCGCTATATTTTTCTCAATTACGCTTGGTTGGCGGTAATCGCAGTTATCATTCGATTTACATGCTTCTAATTCCACCTGAGCCGACTGCACGCAAAGCGCTCGGAAAGCCATTGCTGTTGACCAACTTGGTGGAAATGCATAGTTGCATGACTTCCAGGAAGACTCGTTTGCTATTTGGTCTTTGGGATGTAGATAAAATGAACAACGGCGTTCAATATGCGGTAGCAGCGAACTGTCAGCAATATATGGCCGCGCAGAATTTGGTTTAAAATCGAGCGATATTGCTACAAAACTTAATAATTCATTTGGTGGTCTAGTACATACATCAGTGCCTAAACGAAAATTATAAGAATATTTAAAGAAATGATAGAGCTTTTGTTCAACAGCACGTAAACGTTCCACGTATGATATTTTCCGAACTTTTTTCCCAATTTTTTTTAACGACAGCACCTCGCATTTTGGAGGTTCCTTAGTTTTCAGTACTTCTGTAAACTTATCAACCTTTTCTCTAAGTTTCTTAAGCTTTCGATTTGTTGGTACGAGAACAGTGTCAGGATTTTCACGCAATTCTGCGACTTTTTCAATCCAATTTTGGGTTGTAATAACACTATTCTTCATTGTACATGTCTTTTTTCGTGGTATGTCTTCAAGTGTAGCTTCTGGATTTTTCGTAAAAAACTTCTTTATGGTAAGGAAACGTGTACGGCAACTAATACGATTGTGGTTACCCAGAGCTTCAGCACAACGTAACCAAGCCGATGTACCGTGCTCCGATATAAACTCCATAAGTTTCTTATCATCCTCTACAGACCATGGTGTTAACTTATGACGAGTTTGTAAAGTATTTCTGTAGCGCATACGAAGCTGTGTTATAGAGCGATTTGGAAAAAGTGTACGTGGAAATAATGCGAATTTTTCTCCATATTCTTCAACCGCTGCCAACAATATGAGGTCTTCTTCAGGCGAGAATGGTTCTAAAAGCAACAAAAATGTTAATAAAAATTTATGAAAATTTTATATATTTCGAATGTTACCATGACTAATCTTTGGATCCAAATAATATATGTAACGTTGATGTAATGATTTTTTAGGTTTGTGGGGAAAATAAGACGCCACTGCATTCCAATCGATTACTCCGTTTATGGACTTCTTCTCTATTAATTTTAGTAGCTTAATATCATCACGTTTATCCCAACGACCCCAACGTTGTGTGTCCATAAAACAAACGGCCGTTTGATATTGTATAAAGCATTGATAATCAGAACGTTTCGAAACTGATTTTGCGATGCTTTCCCAATTTTGATAATTATGAATTTGTGCTACATGCAAGAGCCGTTTATTTTCTTCTTCAGACCAAACGCTGCGCTTAAGCGTTGGGTGCAAGTACACATGCCACATTGTTTTACAACTGCTTGGTGAATGTCGATAGTTTAAATTATGTGCAGACACTTGCTCCCAATCAACCTGGAATTTTTCATCCACTTGTGTCAAAAGATTCGCCAACTTCTCTGTATGAACTTTTATATCTAGTCTGAGCTTTTTCGATTTACTACTTTTGTCTCGAATTTGGTGATCTGTTAAGTAGTCAACCACCTGTAAGTAGACCATAAAATCTTTTCGACATATATTAAACAAAATATTAAAGTTATCGTAAGTTTGATAAAGGCAGCAGCAGGTATGATTCCAATAGTAAAATCAAACGATATGGCTATTTACAATTTTGTTGTATAGTATTCAGTTTTATTTAGAGTCTGTCTTATTATTAATATGACAATAACTAAATTTGTTGACAAAAACACTGATGTGGAAGTGGCGAACCGAAAGAGGGTATCTAATACGTGAAATCTTTTTAATCTACTGCATTGTTGACTATTGTCCAGCAGTTGGATCGCAAGTACGTTATATGGATCTCCAATCGAGAGAGGTAATACTATACTAAATTCGTCTATTGAGGTTTCTTTTCACTGGATATTTTTAGGTCTACATGGAAAACGTCGTTTCTATCATAAAAAGATGCACCCATATATCTATCATAAAAAGGTGCCACAAGAAGAACTTTATTTTGAAAGGCTTGAATATCTTTAAAATCTGAACTAGCCGTGTTGCCCCAAATTTGTATTCCCTACGACCAGATCGGTCTGAGTATAAATAGAGCCTAGGTGTTACAAACGTCGTAGCAAACTTAATATACCCTGTTCAGGGTATAAAAATATTTTTTTTCCCGGTTTTTTTTTTTGTGTTTTGTTTACATTTATCTGACCTTACCTGCTCTTTCACTGCTTGGACCACAGCTTTTTTGTCTAATAATGACCAAACATGTCGACTACATAGCTCGAAGTCCATTGGAAACATTTCGTTCTCCATATTCTTGCGATTTTCGTAATCCTGATTGTTTGGACAGTTCCGACATTTAAGATCTTTAAAAAACATATTCCCTTTAAAGAAGAATGTACCGCCTTTAAGATAGGCACCTCGCATTCCAAATCCTCGCTGTTTCTTGCCCAAACTCATTTTCAGTAGTTGCTCGTTTGAAAGGTATCGCTGTTGAACAGCTTGTAATAAGACCTGCAAACGTTTTCTCACTTCTTGCAGACGTTGCTGCATCTCCTGGTTCAGTATTAATGCATTTTCACAATTAACTTGGCTGTATACACCCAATAAGTTTGTTATCTCACCCATGTATCTGGCACTGAATGCTGCATAGTCAGGACAGAATTCCTTTTCGATTTCAGAATCCGACCAATCTATATCAAAATAATTTTAAAATTTGTCATGAAAATACTCATATTTTATAAAATAATTACTTTTAATTTACCTTCAACGCTACAATCGCCAGAAGAATACTTATCAAAATTAATTGATACCATAACTATTTTACCTCAATACTTACAATCATAAACAAAATTGGATTTCTAAACTAATTGAAAAAGTTTATAGTTGTGTTTATTCACATTAATTATAATCGATAAGTTTGTTATCGAAAGCAATTCAAAACAGTAATAGATTTTACTTAAGTGCAGACGTACAGAGAACTGATATACGTTCTCTGGTTATATATGCAAATATCTCAAAAGCCATAAGTTAGCGGCAACTAAGTGTGTATAATTTTTTAATCTGGAGAACCTTCTATATCCGGTCATACCCATTTTAACCCCGACAGTCGGGTCTACGTAACCGGAACGGACCCGGAATTTATCCGGTCAAGGACTGTTAACTCGGCAACAATAACAACCACCCCGAATTCGTGGAAATGCTATTCTAAATCACAGCCCAAAAGCCCGTGACAAGCTATGCAAAATTCTTCCTTGAATTAGAAGTGTGTCATATCAGAGAACTTAGAACAACGAGAAGGTACAAATTGAATTTTGTATGATGCTCGATTGGTTGGCTGAAAACTTAAGATCAAGGAGTTCACCATTTTCTGTAGCATTTGCTTTTATTTAACAGAAATGAGAATTTCTAATAACCTTCTCTGACAAATTACGTATCTCCCAACATAAAGAGAAAAATGAAATGAAATGAATGAGAAAACAAAAAATACAAATGCCACTTCACATATGCATGATTATTTTTTGCCATATAAACGATTTTTATGATGAAAAATTGATAAAATATGATTTTTTGCACAAATGCTACATTGATAAAATGTGAAAGATTATGCAAGAAATGATATTTTACTATTTTCATAATTTTCTAATTTCAGTTGTTACAAAATTCATAATTTATGTATGTACATATGTACATCAATATGTTATATTATATAATATACTTGTAATAATATATTATCAATTATCAATGAAAACATATAAGCGCACTGCTCTATATGTAAGTATGTTTGTACAAATATGCGTACGACCGCGCAAAATAAGTAATGCATACACAAATCTACATACATTTAAGCGTACAAATGTAAGTACGTCAGCCAATAGGCAGAATACAAACATTGTTGTACAAAAACAACAATTGTCTCAAATAGCATGAGCACCAAAAATCAATATGGTAGCCAAATCCTAAATTTGTAGTAAATCACACACCAACAACATTTTCATTCATGAACGCTGGTGCACAAGCAATAAGCTAAGTCGTTTCATTCATAAAAGCAAACGCCTTACACATCTCCCCGAGCATGCGTTTGCCTACAAGTGTCTTTTCGCGACGATGGCAAAAGCTAAAAATCATAAATTGAACAAATTTCTGATATTCCCTCTAGAAGGGAAAAGTGACAACATAGTAAATTTGTCGATTTACAATTCAAGAAACTTTTTAAAGAAAATATTCAATATTCCTCTGATTTATGTATACAGTAAACCCCGGTTAAGTATCACTCCTCCAATCCCTCTTATCTGCCGGTGTCTTGCTGCATCTCACTTTTTTTTTCTTAATTTTTTAAAGAAAACGGTAATTTTTTTTTAAATACATAGAAATAATTTTTTTTGGTACCACTCGCTTAAGTACCACAATCGCTTATGTACTACAAAGCACAAAAAATCTGCATCTTTGGTTTTGGCACTTAACCGGGATTGACTGTATTTGTCAAAGAATTTATGTAAGTACGTTCGATTTTTTTGTACACACATTGACTTTGCACTTGCCCATATGCGATGTATGTTTGTAAGAGTGTGTATGGCAAAAAATGTGTCAACGGAGATTTCACATGAAGTAATGAGTGTACATATAAACATAAAAATACATACAAATGTGTAAACGACATAATATATGTATGTATGTCCTGTTGCACATTTGCTTCTACGCCAGTCAAATTTCTATAGGAAAATCAACTGAAATTAGTATTGAAATAAAATAGACTTTTGAGCAACAATATATTTTTTAAAATTTTATTAAAAGTAATATAGAAAGAATACATGTTTATATAAACACAATTCTGTACTTTTATGACTCCATAATGGTGTCAAGTACAATTAATGAATTATTTTAAGAAATATATCAAAATACTTTATTAGTAATAATTTAAAAGTATTTTGATATATTTCTCATAATAAAGTAAAAATGAATTAACATAAAATAATTTAAAAAATAATAAATAATAGTTCAATAAAAGGGAATATATTTCGAATGGCATATCAATATGCCCAGTTTTGCTCACATATTATATTCTCTTCAATATTCGTCGGTTGGTTATGTTAAGAGAGCGTATGTGTACAGATTCACCGCTGTTATAAAAGCGAAAAATGTTATTTATTTCTCGTGCATCTGTGGTGAACTCCTTGATAAATTCCTACAAATTGTTCGCTGTCGAACCTGCACCTTCTCATTGTTCTAAGTTCTCTGGTCATATATGTTTTTTAATGTACTTTGTTCCTTAAAAAAACAATAAACTTTAAGTATTGATGAATTTCAATATCCTGTCTAATTAAAGATATTTCAAATAAATTTTTTTCATAAATTGCGTTAAATATAGTGAAATTGCATGTATTAGTTTTGAGTTTTTAAACTTAAAATACAAATATATTAAAAACTGCAAGTCTTCGGTAATCGAAAGCTGTATATTATAACACAGGAGAACTTCTTCTATCACCTCGTACTTATCTTACTTAACCCAAAGTTCCCTTTATAAATTTATCCAAATAAATTAGACACATTTCTAATAATCAAATGAGTTTTATTTAAAATATCTGACAAAATCAAATGATAAATACTTACATCAACATGTAAAAGAAAACCAAATTAAACATCTAAGATTATAAATGATAATTATAGGAATTTGTGTTATTTCATGGTTATAATTTATTATTTTTGTTTCAAGGATTATGTAACTTTTAGAATCTCCCTCGTTTTACATTGTTTAATTGATATACTGTTACTTTATACTGTTAAATGTGCGTTAGTTAACTTCAAATAGAATATTATGTTTTTTTTTGTTTTGTGAGTTATTTTTCGAATATACGCATATATTATATATATTACATGTTATAGTTTTGAAATTTAAATTTTATAAACATTATATAATGTAAGACACTTTATTTATATTTCTTAATTATTCCAAATGATGGTGGTTTATATGATTTAATAGTTGTGTCGCGAGTACGTTTTAATTCAGTTCCATATATGGCGGTGGGTGGACGTTTATAAGGTGCTGTTGATGGGATAATTTTATATTATTTTGTATTTTATATCGGTTACAAATATTAATGCTTTTTTTTATAATATTTTTATATGTTTTTCAGTCATAACACATCGATTATAAGTAATAAAAATAGATACATAAAAAATAATTAATAGTGTAAATTAGTGGTCATGATGGAATATAAAAATTTTAATAACATAATCATTTATAAATGTGTATATGAAAGCGTACTTACCCTTAACATACCCATAATTATGGATGGGAGTTAGTAAGGTAGTTAGAGTTTCGTAAAATTCCTCATCAGATTCATTTCTGCGAATAATTTTTTTGTCGTAACAAATAGTAAAATTACAAACAAAAAGTTAAATAGGATTTTCAAATAGATAACCCTCAACGGCTGCGTTTACTGGTTATTTTATGTTTTAGGTATAATTAATACTTTTTGTCCCCAATTTAATATATAATACTTACTGGTACATTCCCTGTTGCTCCCCATGGCGGGCAAAATTAATAAATTTAGACGAACTAGGGCCGGTCATCATTCTTTTGTCGAGAACAGATCTAAGTATTAGATAGAAATATTAGGCGTGATAAATCTATCCCCTTTTGTTGGAATTTTTAAATAACTTTACTTGGAATACTGTTTTGCCGACTTGGGATCTATTTCCATTAATTCTAAGAGTTGCTCGTGTGAAACATCATCGTTTTTATCTGGGACAAGATACTTGCGGATCTCAGCTAAGGCGTATGCAATACGCGCATAGCATTCCGCTGGTGGTGCTATTGTACTAATTTCCACATATAAACTTCGATTCAAATGTGCAAAACGTGGATCTCCTGATTCGCGCATTTCTTCCTCCTTAGAACGATCCCGTATTGAGTTTCGTCCTTTTATTACAATTTTACATTGAGTTTCTTCTTGTAATCGCCGTAAGGAATTACCTTTGGGTCCCAGAATTTTCCCAGTGAAATTAAACTGTAAGGTTGGAAACAGAAAATATCAATAGTCTTCCCATGTATATTAAATGATAAATATACCTTAGGAAATTGCTTGACTGGAACAAATACTTTCTGTGTGACTTTTATAGGTTTTTGTTGGTATACATCTGCATAATACTCTCTACCTGGTATACGTCCTGTAGAGTAAACTCTTTCAAACGCTAAAGTATTTAAAAAATTGTTTTCAATGCAGTCAAAGCAGTTTCAAAGAAATTACCTTCGTCAATTAATAAGGCGCACAAAGGAAAATCTGCACCGAGTCGTTCACGTTCCTCATCCAAGTCAGCCAGAAATTTTTGAGCAAAATTATTTATTCGTGGTATCTCATTTTCTTCTTCCTTTTGTGCATTATTAGTCTTATGTACATGTTCGGCCATATCTTGTTTTTTTCTTAAAAACTAACAAAAAGAAACGAGTTTTTGCAATACAAAATTAAATTAGAGAAAAATTGGCTACGTACCTCTAGAAAGGATATTTTTGTAGTGGAAGTGTAACCAAACTGAGGCAATTTGTGGATATGCTGCCAGATTTCGCAATACTTCATTAGTGTTCTGGTGAAAAATAATCGACTGGCCATTAAGATTAGATCAGAGCAAGAGAATTTTACTTTTCTTTATTGAAATATTAATATTATAGGAAAAAAATTTGTGTTTACAGAAAAATTAATTTTGTTTTCAATTGTAATTATTTATGGAAGTCATACCAGAGAACGTAGAATACAGAGAAGGTCCAACTACGATATATATAATGATATACGTTCTCTGGTCATACTGTTGTTTTACGAATTGTCAGCACTTGTCTCTTGATTTTGGAACGTATCCGCCATTTTAATTCCAATAATTTAGATATGACAGCAATTTTTATCGCAGCAGGGTATTAATGCATTTTACTTTTAGCATTCGATTTAATTTAAATTGTGTTGATTTAGAAAAATGTCGGAACATTCAGATGAGGTCAGTCAAGTTGCAAAAGATGGTGAGATCGATGGACCAAGAATAAATAATTTTGCCCAAAAATTTTTGGATGAATTAAATGAGGAACGGGATAGACTGAGCAATGAGTTTCCATTGTGTGCGCTGCTCATAGAAGAAGGTTAGTTGTATTTGAATGCATTTAAATCTGTAATGTGTATTTTCGGAACATTAAATTAAAACAATGTCTTCGCATAGCTATTGAAAGAGTGTGCACTACAGGGCGAATTCCTGGCAGAGAATATTATGCTGATGTTTACAAACAGAAGCCTATCAAATTGGTTCAAAAAGTATTTGTCCCAATAAAACAATACCCAAAGGTATAGTTTCAACATTAAAAATAGCTATATATACATCATTTATGTATATTCACTAAAATCGCTAGTTCAACTTTACTGGAAAAATATTAGGCCCTAAAGGCAATTCACTTCGTCGTCTGCAAGAAGAGACCCAGTGTCGCATTGTCATCAAGGGAAGGAATTCCATCCGCGATCGTGCTAAGGAAGAGGAAATGCGTAATTCAGGTGATCCACGACATTCTCATTTAAGTAAAGATTTATTTGTTGAGATTAGCACCGTCGCAACACCTGCAGAAGCTTACGCTCGTGTGGCATACGCACTGGCTGAAATACGAAAATATCTAGTTCCTGACAAAAATGACGACGTTGCGCAAGAACAACTTCGCGAACTTATGGAAATCGATCCCAAATCCGCAAAGCAGTTTTCTAAGTAACCTAACTTAGGTATATAATGTCATAATATATCTAATATTGGTTGATTTCAGATCAATATTTGAAAACAAAATAGTATCCAGTGGTCCATCCAAGTATTTGAATTTTGTCAAGCAATATGCATATCAAATTGATGCATCTAAGTAAGTATAAACAATATTTTACAAACTTTTTAACAATTTTGTTTTATAAAATGCCTATCTAAATCTATAGTTTGTAGCGTATATATATTTATAGCATGTATTATATAAATAAAATTGATCTATATGCTCAATACTTTCACAGAGAAGAGGAATCAGATGAGGAGATTTATGAAACTCGCATTCCTAAGCGCACAATCGTTCCGGCTTATGAATATACCCGAGGTAAGATATTGTTGTCTTTCTTTATTTATTTTTATCGTGATTGCTGTATAAACTTTATGAGTAATATAAATAAATTTTCATAAAAAAAATTATAATAACGGAAAATAAATAATATAAAAAAAACTAACATAATCCTTTAATAAATTATACAAAATATTTCAATATCAAATTTCGATAAATGTAAAAATACATAACTTATAAAAAATTAATTAATGACCAATGAATATTTTAGCAAAAATTGTCCCAACAACTTTGCCCTATAAACGTCCACCAACTGCCTCTATATACGGAACTCAAATGAAACGTTTCCGAGAAGCTCCAGTTAGACCAGCAATAAGACCCGTTGCACATGGAGTATTAAAGAGATATAAATAAATAACAGTATAACAAGTTTTCATTTAAATAAATATACAGAATAATTAATAACACTTAACTTATCATAGGTCATCAAAAAGAATCGTAATAATATATAAAATAAAAATTTTAAATATATGGCAAAACTGTAAGTAAGTAGATTAGATCTGGTTGCGGTTGATGCGCCATATTTCAAATCTGTAAAAGGAATATAAAAAAATACTATTTACGCATATCCAAAGTGCACAGAAATTATTGTTCAATTGTAAAACAATAATAAATAAATTAAATATTGTCCAATAAAATAAAACGTGAATTTATTTACCAAAATGGTTAAAAGCATTTAAACAAAAAACAATAACTTAAAGTAATCGTTAACTTTTCCCTTTCATAAAACTGAACTATAAAAAACAAAAGGCCAATATGAGCCCTCTGTATACAAACTTTGTATGAACTATACAAAATTGAAAATTCTAGTTGAATCTTAGTTTGAACTATTAAGTAATCTAATAACATGAAATAAGTGTTAACCTTATAAAAAGACAAAAATATATTTTTATATACAAAAGATATACCATTTGAATGCTTTTTTCCTCATGAACCTATGAACATTTTAACATATTTTTAAATAAAAAAATGTGCCAATATAATTTTTTTTTACAAATAAATGACGAAAATTATTCTAATTTGTTTTATTTATCTTTTCTTATTGGAAGCCAATAAGACTTCGGAGAATGAATAAATTTTAAATCTTAATCATGATTCAATTGTATAAGCAGAGAATGTTAATGAATTAATTAATGAATATTCATTGACGTTCTCTGGTTGTGTTACTGTGCTTTCTTTTACGGAAAATATATTAAATCAATAATGTTAAACCTTTTTTTTCGTGAATTTCTTGTTAACATTTTGATGATTTTGTATGATTTAAAATTTATTCTTATTCAGTTAATACTTAAAAAACACATTTTCATTGGTTGAAATCTTTGAAAAACTTATTTCTGAATCAAAAAAACATTATGAATTTAAACTCTTTTGCCAAATTGTTATTTTTTGGGCTATCGGCTCAACCTTATAAATATAATTGAATCATGACGCAAACCATTGAAAATGTATATTTACGAATCAAGCTGAAATTTTCTGTCTTAAAATATTACGAGACTTTTCTGTACGCAAAAATTCCTCAGATGAAAAAAACATACGAATTAGTAAAATGAAATTTGTAAACTCTGTCCTGGTCATCTGACATAGTGTCAAAAAATTGTCATTGTTTTCGTTTTATTCACTTTTTCGCGAAGTTTATTCCGAGAAAACGAATAATTTCTTCACTTAGAAAAGTTTTTTTTAATTAGTAATAAAAGAGTACAAATAGGGAATATTTCAACAATTTCTCAAATGTCAATAACAAGGTACATGTAGTCAGTTTTTACAGTAAGAAAATTAAAACAAAGAACTATTCAATTTCAACAATATGTGTGTGTGTGTTTTGCTTTTCAGACAAGGTGTTTAAGGAGGAAAATGTCCAATTTAAACTATATGGACAGAGTTCCTGTTAAAATAGCAGAAAGTTTTAAACCACCACCTAGATTGTATCAACTGCCTCAGTCTATAGTTCATAAATTGCAATTACCAGCGGAGCATTATAATGAAGCTCCACAATATTGTTATGACTTCCAGTTGGAAAAAAAGGTTCTTGCCAAAATGCCTGAGTGGCGACGATTAAGACAGCAGGAGCGAGAAGCACGCCGTGAACGAAATGATCAAAGGGAGCAAGAACGTTTACAAGAGCTTGAAGCCAGAAATAAACGTATGCTTGGCGCAGTAAATTATCCGAGTACCGATGATCTGTCTGGTTCGGATGGTGAGACAGAATGTAAACAAACAAATATAGTTGAAAGAGAAAAAAAGGAGTCTGATACAGAAGAAAAATTAATTTTACCCCCGCAAATAAACAGTTTTCATAACATACTACAACCAACTATTGTTTCCAGTATATGTGAAAATTCAACAATTCAACAATTAAATGGTATGACAGCATCGTGTTTGGAAGCACATGCTAAGGCCGGAAAATATTGCAGCGGTGCAAAAGAAGTAAATGCATTTAATTATAAAGATTTCGAAGAAGATACATCATCACCTTTTGATAATATTGAGTTAAAAACAATTAATGATTTAGATATATTGGCGCAAGTGCTTCATAACACGCAATTGCATGTCCAAAATAAGGAAATAGAGGATAAGACGGAAAAATTGTCGCATGAGCAAAAAATGGAGAAAATTCAAGTAGGAATTAAATCTGAGCTAACATCCAAAGATAATACTCACAAAAATATTACAGCAGAAAATAATAAGGTTGAGTTTAAAAAGTTTGACTTTGAGAAATTAAATCAACAGGTTTGGCATAATGAAAACATTCCAAATCCAATTGCTGCAAATAACAGTATGACTAATGCTATGAATTGTATAAGTAATAACAGCAACACACCGCTAGACTCATACGATTCACTTATTAATCCTTCACATCATACTCAACAAAAATCCTTTCAAACGTCTTACAATACATTATATAATAGTGAAGAAATTGCGCAGAAGTATTTAAATTTTAATGCCCAAACACAAAACGCTTCTGCTATTTTGGGTAATCACAATTACCTTTATACACCCAATTACAATGGTAGCCCTTCGGTTTACGATAGCCCCAGACATTTACTAAATCATTCAACTGATGTTAATTCTACACACTGTATTGGCAGCAATGCTAATAACTATGTAAGCCCGATTAATGTCAGCAATGAATCACATTTGCAAAATCAGCAATTTTTAAACACCAGCAATTACATAGATTCAAAGTCCAGGAGCGTTCCAGATATATTGGAAGAGTTAAGTGACGAAGTTCGAAATTCAGAAATACGTAGGTCCCGTTACTATAGTTTTAATTCTGAAGAAGAAAAACAAGCTGATGTCAAGGATTTTGATGAAGGTGGGTAATATAAATATTCTAATGAACATAAGTTAAAAATGTTTGTGTGAAGCAGATAGAACTCCAAAGCAGTCACCTGTGAAAGTAACACACACATCACAAGAGGCAAATCATTTTGGCAAATTGCCTCTGCCTGCACAACGATTAGTTACAAATATTAGTTCTATGGGCTTTCCGTTGGAGCGGGTGGCGAAAATTTCCACAATTTTCGGTACGGATGATAAAAAGGTAAACAATCTTTAATAGGCATTCTGCATATAATATAATAATGGTGATAATTACAGATCATTGAGCATCTAATACCACTTAGTGAATTAATGGATCTGGGTTTCGACGAAGCGAAAATCTCCGAGGCGCTATTTAAATTCAATAACAATAAAGAGAAAGCCTTGGAATATTTAATATCATAATCGATTGTGCCCGGTAGTGTCCTATACTATACATCTATATATACATATTAGTCTTTAAATGCAATGTATTTATGTAATGTATTATTATTATTTAAAACAATTATATAGTATACCTTTTGTGCAAGTAATAATGAAGAATTGAGAGAACTATGATAAACTTCAACCGTTCTCAATGTACATACATGCCAGAAATTTCATCAAAATGTAAAAAAAAAAAACACGAAAATCATATGATATATTCGTTATATTTTTTACAGAAAATATTAACGATAAAATAACGCAAATGTAATTGAGTATTCCTATAAATAAACAAAGAGATACAAATACATGAATATATATTATTTTATTTTTGCAGTCTACAGATCATTGACATAGGATGACATATTCCTTTTGTTTTCGAAATCCAGTCGTTTTGCGTTCATCTATCATCCAATTATAAACATCTCGGTTCTCATCACTTTCTACATCATTAATTCATTGCTCCCATTAGAAGGTTAATAGCAACATCAATATTACCACTTGCAATTGTCAAATATACTAGATTGTCATCGTAATTGAGTAAACCCATTTGAACCATAGTTCGCAATTCATTAGCATATTGGTGCGTGCGATACTGGGGCGGTAGTTCGTCACTGTCGTCTTCCGTAACAGTACCAGTAGTAGTGGTTTCTGTTGTGTCCATTCGTTGCGAATCTCTGCCCTGATCGCTATTACCATTACCCGAACCACTAACTGGACCGACTCGTTGACCCAAAGATTGTAATGCTCGTTGCAACTCTGATCGAAACATTGTTGATGAAATACGCTCTCCACTAGTTGAATTGGGTATGGGTGCAGATGTATCAGCAGCCGCTTCTGATGTTGTACCCGTAGCTGGTGTTACATTTACGTTATCACTATTTCTTTGAGCAATGTTGGACAATGAATTAACCGAACCGACGCCAATTCTGGCAAGTGCAGCTTGTAATTGCTGGCGGCTTATCATACGTATTCGTGAATTCTCCGATTGCGAACCCGATATAGGTCGTTCGTTACTAGTGCTGGCACCCATCGAATTTTCTTCCTCAGATGAATTGGTTGAATCAGTCGCCGGCTCTGAAACTAAATGATAGAAGTTGGTATGCATAGAGATAAATATAAGAAGTACTTCACTTACGTGTAGTAGATGAGCTTCGAGCCAATTCTTTTTTAATAGTATCTACCATGAATGGAGCTGCTTCACATATAATGGGATAGGTTTCTGAAATATTTTTAACCACTTCTGGATGATGAAGTGTATTAAAAAGAACTGAATCCCTAATAAGAGCTTGTGCTCCTAAATTATGACGAAATTCTGGATACTTTGCCAATACCTTTTGGAGGATATTGACACGTGAATTCACATTTATTTGAGTGTGTGCAATTACATTAAAAAGCTCGTGAATACGTGTAATATTCGCAGGACTTGACACATCTTCTGGTGGAACGTGCGGAGAATGTTGCTTTGTCTTGTTGAAACAATGAACCGTTCCGTTGGGGCAAATAGTTTCCAATAATTTATTTTCATCATTTAAAGCTAAACCTTTGTATATTAACTCTGTAATTTTTTAAACATATGAACATATGTATTACACATTATAAGCATATATTTACTCCGTCAAATATGTATGTTGCTTGTATATGCGTACTTACCCAAATTTGTCGCATCGCACTGCACCTTTTTAGCAATTTCTTCTTTTAAATAATTCACATTACGATCAAAATCGATATCATTCAAAGGAAGAAATTCATTTGGTTTATCTTGCAAATATATGCCAGCAAAAAGTGAAGGCATTTTAAATAGTCGAATATTAATTAAAACGATAAGAGTTTTTTGCACCGATGAAAATAACTGTTGATAGTTGACGGATTCTCAGCTATAGCGAAATTTTAGATAGGCTTTATTTTGAAACGTCATGGCCAAAGTGTTACCGTGCTCAATAATTTTGCATGAAAAATATAAAATACCACATTATGTCAGAAAAAAATTATTAAGAAACATTAAATAGCATTTGCATTTGTGTAATTTTCCTCAATATAATTTAATATAAATTGAACAAGAAATAAATGTAGTGCAATTTTACTTTATTTTTCAAAATATTTTTAATTGGACTAAACAGTTTGGCATTACAGTGCGCAAGCGCCAATAAAAGACAATTTGACAATCGAACGGATCAAAACAAAACTAAAAGAAAAATATATTATTAACTATTTATAGTAGTTTAATATTTGCGTTTCATTGGACTTCCTGAAAATGCCAGAAATACTGAGTTGCGATTTCGAAGTGCACGGCATAGTTCAAGGTAATTGATATTTTTAATTAGAACGTAATGTTTACTATTGCTTGTTTCAGGTGTATCATTTCGAATGGTAAGTTAATTTTATGGATATGATTAGTTATAAAAAAATTATATCATCCTTGTAATCGCTGTGACCACCAAGATAGCACTATCGTTTCAAATTATATCCCAGGCTTAATTTGTGTGTATATTACAGTATACTGAAAGGCAAGCAAAATCTCTTGGAGTGAGAGGATGGTGCATGAACACGCCCCATGATACCGTTAAGGGACAAATCGAAGGTATACCTGAAGCCTTCGAGCAAATGTAAGTTTAAAGTATTACTATTTTGTGATACAATTTTTACAACTTTTAATTTGTCTTCAAAAGGAAAGTTTGGTTACTAAAAACTGGAAGCCCGACATGTCGCATAGAAAGAGTTGATTTCAGTGAACCGAAAATACTACCGGACTACAAATTTACGAATTTTTCAATTCGTCACTAATTTCAATTGTTATATATATATAAAGATTGGAAAATTAAAGTATTGCAAAAATGTGCACTTGTAAATAAAACAATTGGTGTCATTTGAAAAAATTAACGCATTTATGCCACCGCCAGAGGAAAACTATTAAAAACCATTCACAACTTTTGGAGTATAATTTTCTAAGAGAAAAATGGTAATGATAGTTCCCATTATATATGGAAGGTATTTAAGCTATAACGTCCCTGATAGTTTATATTAGGAACCATTCAATATTACAATATTAAAAACGCTATATTAAAAAAAAAAAGTTATATGAAAATGTATCTAAATCCTTTATTTAGTGCATTCTTGTATAATTTATATGCGACTTGAGTTATTGTGAATGTTTCTTTCTTCGTAGCGAAGTTGGTTACAATTTTCATTCACGTAAATTTTTCAGTCGTGTCGTTTGTTGCGTGCAATCATCACTTAATCTTTTCTACGTTGTGAAAAAATTAGAGAAGTTGGTAGTAATTGTATTTATTTCTGTAATTTCACTTTAAGTGAGTGAAAGAAAATTAAATCCAACGAGATTAAGTGTGATTTATATCTTTTTTTATATTTATTAAAAATACGGTAACGGAATTGATTACTCGCAAAGTCTTCTTCGCTTTGCTAAATGACTTGCGCTTGTGCAAGTGGGAAAGAGCAAGTGTTAAACCCATTCGTCAATAATGGCTGCTTAGGTAAAAACCTTGAATGTTTGCTTAAACGAGAGAGCTAGCTGTTTTTCCTGGTGTACGTGTGCACTTAACAAACGTGTGTTCGTAAACGCAAACAAAGGATCTGAGCGAGTACTTTGTGTGCTACACGTCAATAGTAATTGCGTTAGAACGGACGAAAAGCATTAATACGTTTAGTGTGGTTTGTTATAGTCACTAGCGGGAGTGAAACAAACGGATGTTGTAGAGAGTGCGCATGTGTTTTTGTAATTTTTCGATTTGGATTTCGTGAACGAGTTTTCACTGGGATCGTAGGAATTGGATTATCTGTCCTCGTTACCCATTCCTATTATTGCATATGGAAAATAAAAAGAAAGAGGAATAACGTCGACAGTCATATGTGTGTGTGTACTGTGTCGATAAATATAAATATAAAACAAAGAAGGATTTTGACAGAAATTTATAAAGCAAAAAATGATTAAAATGGAGACTGACAAAATTATGGACGAGACCAACTCAAATTCGCAAGCCGTAAGTTTTGTTAATCACCTTTGATTTTATATAAACATTTTACACATTTTTTTCTTGTTATTTTGACTTTTAATATCGCCTATAATATATGAACTTGCATTGAATGTGCATATGTGATTAAATTGTATATAAACTTTGAACTATCTATCATCAATTGCAGAAATATATTTAATTTATTGTATTTGCATTCATATTAAATAGTGAATATTATAAATTTTTTTATGACACAGCCGTCAAGCTGCTTTTGATTTATTGATGAAAAGCAATTCAAGTCTATTGAAATTTAGATTATTTGATATATACGTGTGTGCTTTAGCTAATAAGCATGGAAGGCCATAAATCATTTCGGTTTATATGTTCAAAATCTATACAATGTTTTCTGTAATTGATTTATCAAAATGGGATTTGTGCATCCCATCTGATACTAGCACTTAACATACAATAAAGTTTTTTTCTACAGTTTATTTCGTAAATAATGGACTATGATATATGGCATAAGTTCTTAATTTATTATCATAAATACTTAATCTTCACTTCCTTTAACTTTTTTTTCTTGCTAAACCAAATAATGACATAAATTCAAACTAAAATAACTTAAGTCTTAAGCGTTCAAAACTTTTGAGTTTATAAGTATTGTTTATTCAGTCAACACAAATAGCTTATGCATATATTACAATAGACGGCAAAATCGACTTTTCCTGGGTATTGGATAAAACCAAATTTTTTTAAACTAACAATAAAACTTATTTCTCCATTTTGCGGGGTGCACGTTCCTAGGTAAAAATATAAATACATACATTTCCTGTGATTTTAATGGTGTATAACATATTTCGGTCAAGTTTTAGATTTCCAAAACGGTTAGTGAAATGCGATGAAAACTTAGATGGTGTTCATGTACCGAGTAAATGTATTAAGTTAGTTAACGAAGTTTGTAACACCCAGAAGGAAACGTCTGAGTCCCTATAAAATATATTTATAAATGATCAGCATGACGAGCTGAGTCGATTTAGCCATGTCCGGCCGTCTGTCTGTATATACGGGAACTAGTCCCTCAGTTTATGAGATATCGATCTGAAATTTTAGTACTTTTCTATTTCTCTCCAATTGCCGATATCGGAACCCTATATCATATAAATATGTCTAATATAAACTGAAAGTTTGGAATATCGCGAAAATATTTGTTTGGTACTATTTCCAGCCGAGTGTTGTACATATTTCAGTCAAAATTTTGAAATAGTTCTACATATACATATAATGTTATATGTTGATAAAAAGATTTAAAAAAATAAAATAAAACAGCATACATTTTTAAGAAAATCAATTGATAGATACATATGTACATATATATGTAACTTTTCTCGCTGAATATAAATTTTATGTACGTATAATTGATTGTTAAATTTTTTCTATAATTTTTAATACACGCGCAACCGAATAAGCCTACATGCGTTACTCGAATTTAATACTATTTCTCTAATTGTGTTATTGCATAGCAATCTCCGTGTTTTTGAAAGTTTAGAATTGTGTAGCCTCTACTGTCTATTTGCAGTTAAAGTGACTAACAACATGTTTTCAATGATAATCATGATAACTTTGAACTGTTTTTAAAAATGAGTTAACTGTGCACATGTTAAAATTTCATATTATTATAAACGTTAATTTATATGTGGTTAGTGTGTTTAAACTTTCTAAAAGTATATCTTTTATAAATAACTAAAATTTAGAGAATATTGTAAAATCATCAAATGATCAAGGTTAGAAAATTTCAGTAGTATGTTTAGGTACTTTACATTTATTCATAATAAAAAGCAAATCAAACTATACTGAGTATAAATTCGGGTCCTCTCCGGTTATGTTAACTGTTGTGGCGACTGTTAAAGCTGGTTAAGAAGAATTTTTTTGTCGCAAGAGTGCAATTGAATTCGATAAGTATGCTTGCATGTACATACATATGTCTATATATATAAATATATATATTTATTATACTGTATTTAAATTCTAAATTTTATATAGTAAAGAAGTAAAAATTTACACAATTACATAGTTCATTCAGATTTAATTGATATATTCTAATACCAAAATTTCTCTTTTCTGTTTGCAAATCACATTTGATTGTTTTACTGTTTTTGGTAACATCTGCTCTTCAATGACTACGATAATTTATTGCGGCTAACTTCATATATCTTCATACAACATTATAAACATCATGATAGTTCACATCAACAATGCTGTATGATCCCGTCCGTAAGAAAGAATCAACACAAATATTTCAAAATGAACGTGAGACCTGCTTAACCTACTTCTCGCAATGGAACGAAGCGGATCAGGTTGAATTCGTGGAACAGCTTCTTGCGCGCATGTGCCACTACCAACATGGACACATAAATGCGTTCCTCAAACCGATGTTGCAGCGTGATTTCATCACATTATTGCCGAGTAAGTGCATTTCGATATTACTATAACAACTATAGATACATTCATACATATATACCAATGTACGTAAGGATGTATATATATATTGAGCAATAGAGTTTTCTTATTTAACATGGCGCATATTACATCGAAATTCAGAAGATTTAAAAAATAAATTAAGAGTTAGAACAGTTTAGGTTAATATTTGTAAAATCTGTAGTTTTTATAAATCGTGTATTTTTCACAAATGTATAGGTAAGTCAAGGTCAAGGTCTTTATCAAGTAAATCAATGAAATATTTTACTAAGAAATTAGTGCCAATATGTTCATTTTGCATTGTTTGTAATCTATTGCTATTTATCAAAACTTCTTATTTAAAAAGAAAGTGCCCATTAAGATATAATTTGTACCAAGAATATGTCGATTTAATCGATTTATAATTATAAATCAGTGTGAAAGCCTTACTAAGAAAATACTTTAAAATTGTTTACATATTCCTTATTTATTTTTACTCTTAATATAACGGGTAATCTAAGTGGAGGTACTTGTTTCAATAACCTTTTTTGACAGATCACACGTGAGTCGTGTCAAGCTGTCATATTATTTTTATTAAGTATTATTTGGCATTTTATCATGGAAAGACTTAGGCCTGAACAACGTTTACAAATCTTTCAACTTTATTATAAAAATTCACGTTCTGTAAAAAATGTGTTTCGCGGGCTTCGCTTAACTTATGCTCAATATAATCGACCTACTAAGAGTACTATTCGCAACACCATCACCCATCTTGAGGCCCAGCCTTCATTATGGATAATATTCGACCGAATAGACCACGTTCAGCACGCAGTCAAGAAAATATAGCGGGCGTAGCTGGGAGTGTACGCTAAGACAATGGAGAGTCGCTTCGGCGCCGGTCGCAGCAACTCGGACTGGCGTATGGAACGACTTGACCGATTTTTCGTCGAGATCATAAATTAAAAGCGTACAAAATAAAGCTTGTGCAAGAACTGAAACCGCTCGACCTTCCCAAGCGACATCTCTTCGCCCTATGTGCTCTTGAAAAGTTCCAAGAAGATCCGACGTTTTCGTGAAAAATTTTTTCAGCGATGAGGCCCATTTCTGGTTCAATGGGTTTGTAAACAAGCAAAATTGCAAGAGCAACCTAAAGAAATTCAAAAGCTGCCATTTCATCCAGAAAAAACAACGTTTTGGTGTGGTTTGTGGGCCGGTGGAATTATCGGTACATATTTCGGTATGATGCCGGTGAGGACGTAAACGCGTCATGATAACCGACTATTTGATGCCTGAAATTGAATCTCACCCACACATCGCATCAATTAATGGATTTAAATTCGTTTCGGTCGATTGGCCACCAAGATGGTGTGATATCACACCGTTAGAATTTTTCCTGTAGGGATATGTAAATACTAAAGTCAATGCGGAC